ATTTATTGAGATATTGTTTGGGTATCTTAACAAAGAAAATTTATTTTGAAAATTATTTTGACTTGACGGGTCCGGTTCCCGCTCCTACATATCTCCAAGTGCAATGGAAAACTCAAAGCCACGTAGTTCTATCTAAAAAATACAAAGTTAGTTAATTAAAATTAAGTTTAGTAAAGAAAATTTGTTTTGAGATTAAAATTATTTTCATAAAATGTTTAAGATACAAGATAACGCGGTTATACATGTACCTTATGAGAAACAATACAGAAAGTGAAGGAAGATCACGCAACTATATTGTAAATAGTTAAGAAATATTTTATTCATAAATGATGTATTTGAATTTTAATTTTGATTATGATTAATGTTGAAAGAGAATTAAAGATAGCGTAAGCTATACATTAATCTCTTATAATTTATTAGACAATCGAAGGCAATGTAAATTATATATCGATGTTGTAAAAATTTGTATAGTAAAATGAAGAAATGATTAGTTATTTAATTTTTAAAAAGAATTAGAAATACGACTTAAGACAATTTAAACTATGAAATTAATTCTATTTAATGAAATGAATAAATATATTTGAATTGATTAAAAATTAAAACTTCGTTTGATAAATTTATGTTATATAGAACCTAAGGTTACGTTGGTACACGTAAGTTCTAACAATTTAGCATTATAAATTATTGTGTTAGTAAAATAATTTTAATTGATTGATTAGTAAAATAGTAATTATAGAGAATATATTTTGATTGTTTATTTAGATAATTTTCTTATTAATTAAAGATAACATATGATAAATTAAATATTACCTAAAACCTCGATAACGTAGTTACATGTAGATTTTATCAATTTATAACACATTACGGTAGAGAAGCTATACGTTAATGTTATAAATTGATGCAATTATATTTTTTATTATTTAATCATAAAATAAAATAAATTTACAAAATATATACATTTTATATTCATTAAATAAATAAAAACATACTACAAGTATAAAATCAAATTATTTTAATATTCTGAATTTACACAAAATAATAAAAAAATGCTAAAGAAAAAATAAATAAAAAAAGAAACAAATGAAATAGATACAAACAAAAATTTAAGAATTATTGTAGAAATTTTTATTTTTATATTACTTTTACATTATTGTACTTATTTTTTATTGCTTTTAATGAAGAAGAAATAAATTTTATAAATAAAAACAGAGGTTAAAGGCAACATAAAAAAAATAAAATTAAAGATAAGAAAAAGAGAAAAAAAAAATAAACGACATGTTTTTAGTAAAAAAGTTAAAGATAGTTTAAAATAAATAAAAACTAAAAGGAATTAACTTTTTCTTTACTTTTTTATTAAAATAATAAAAAATTAGACCCACTGTCCAAAGTAAGGTATATGGGTTCAAGAATTCAAAGAAACGAATAAAAAAAGAAAACAAATAAAGCCAAATCAAACGTTGTAAGATTTCAAAAAATTGATTTCGTGTTGCAGGCACTATGATTCTCCTTTCTCAACATTCAATGCATCTTTAATCAAATCACCCTTCATTTTAATAATAAAATAATAACAATATATTATAAAAAAATATGAATAAAACATCAATCAAAGGACAAAATAACCTTAAACTTCCACTTTCCTATTTTATTTTGTTCATTCGCATAGAAAGAGAGGTCACAAGTAAAGAAAAAAGAATATTGCATTATACCAGTTTGAACGGTAAGTGAAGATAATGAGAGAGATGAACTGTTGCGGTTTCTTCTTCCTCCTTCAGTTTTTGATTTGTTTCTCTACTCTATTTTATTTGTAGTTTTCTCTGGTTATGCACTCTTCTGGTCACCATAGCTCCCTTCTTTCATACATTTGTCTTGAAAGTTTTGCCTCTAAAAAAAATTTCTCTCCCTCTCCAAAAAATAGTTGTTGTCTCCTCTCCTCTTTTTTCCCAGCTCTTTCTTTTTTCTCCTCTCATTTTTAAAAGATTTTGACGCTCTCTTAATTTTTCGTTTATGAAAAGGCCTCTTCATTTTGAATTTCTTCCTTGTGTATTTATATGGGTTACTTAGAGTTTATACAAAATGCCAAAACTCTGAGTTTTTTTTCCTTTTTTGATGCTGGGTATGAGTCTGCATAGCGCAGGACTTTCATTTCTGGAACCAAACTATTTTTTCAAAAATTTTCTATTTTTTGTAAAACGATTTTATTATTTTATTTTAAAAATTTTGGAGGCAATATAGGGAAGGCAAAAATCGATATTTACAATTAGTTATTCACATTTAAGCGTAATAAAACTTTACATTAAATTTGATGATATCAATTAAAAAAAATAAAATATTTTTTATTAGAAAGTACAATAACACACTTTTATGATTTTCAAAGCACTCTTAACTTAATTTTTAATAAAATTTTCTATTTATTAATATTTTACTTAATGACTTGAAGATATTAATTAACCGATCTTTAGATTATCTTTTTTTTTCCTCATTACTACAAGTCATTTTATTATATCATTTTTGGCCAAAAATAATCTGAAATTTGAGTTTGATAGTTTGAAAGAAGAAAGTAAAATCAAGAGGGAAATCAAAATTTATAAACACAATTAAAGACAAAATGCTACCTCGTTTGTCTTTTACTATATGTTGTTTGAATAATGTCAAGAAAATATTTATTATTTTTCAATAATACATTTATTTATTAAGAATAATTTTGTTTTCAACTAACAGTTAGAATGGTTTTAAAATATGTGCATTACTACTTAAATTACATTTAGTATAAGACGGAAAGTGAAGAGTAATTAGTACTATTTAACTAATTAAATTATTATTTCAATTTCTACCTATTTTATATATTATAGTGCACAAGTTAGAAAATAAAACTGTTATTCTTATTAGTATTTTCTTAATATATCTTTTATCATTTAGCGTGTAAAAATAAAAGATATAATTGAGAAAATAATAATTAATCGTATAGTCTTGTTATCATTGTTTTAAGAGTATTAATTAAAAATTTAGAAGCAAAAATACTTTTATTAAAAATATATTAAGAATTATCATGGTTTTAATAATTTTTTTAACTTATTAATAAATATCTTTGGAACACTAATTAGCATTGCCATTTATCTCAATATTATCTTGAATTCTTAAAATGATAACTAAATAGAAATAAAAAAATTCAACCAAAATGAGAGCAAAAAATTGGAGGAAGTGTTTTGTATGATATTTTAAAAAAGTAAATAATATTAAATTATGTGATGTTTAATTTAATTTAATTATTTATCGAACATGTTACGTTAAACACTCAAACTTGCCGGGGTAATAACGTTAACCAAATGAAATGACATGTCACTGTGCTGCTAATGGTGCACTGAGCTGGAATGCTATTTAACTTATTCATTGTTCGTCACGTCATTGCACCAAAGATGCAGAGAAGAGTCACGGCCATTTTTCCATTTTTGTTTCTTAGCTTTTCTAGCTTTGTGCTGTAATTTTAATCATTACTTTTTTGGTAAAAGGAATCTTTTCTAGAAAACATTAATCTTTCATTTTCAATTAGCTGAATTAAATTACTTTCCTAAAAATGAATAAAACTTTAAAATATTTTACAAAATATATTTGACTAACACTTAGGTTTTCTAGGAATAATATCATCATTCCTAACAAGGTTTTATTCTCATGTTTAGTCGGATTAAAATATTTCCATGAGTATAATGCTTTTTTTAAAGGAAACATTAATCAAAACAAAAGCATTGAATAAATGTATTATCAATTTAACAATGATTCTGATATGCAAATAATACTAATAATAACATTATTAGCAGTAACACAGGAACATAAGTAATAATACTAATTGTGAAAACAATTACTGTGATTGTGAGAGAAATGAAAGTATAATTGTGTCTATTTTTATTTTTAATAAAATGTTGATGATTAAAAAAAAGTAAATGAGAATAAGTTAGTAATTTTATAAATTAGTATCATAAAAAAGGTTTTATTTTTACTTTTAAAGGTGATAATAATTTTTTTTCAATGTTACTTTCACAAAAGTACTAAAATATTTCCTATAAATAAAACTAACTTAATAGTATTTTTAATTTAGTTATCGGAATGATGTGATTTGTATAAAGGTGTGCATTTTATTCATTATTTTGAGGATTTTTTTTTAACAAAGTAATGAAATGGGTGTCAAACATGGCTTATACATTTTATTTTTTTTTAAATCGGGGGGTAATGTTATAAAACAGGAAATAATCATTGACTTAGTTAAAAAGTGTTGGGACCAAATCAATAAATCGTTTGTTGAAATTGTTGAAAAACTTATACTCATAAAAATAAATAAAGGGCGCAACATAACTAGAAAATGTTAAAATATTTGTCTAACAATAAAAAAAATGATTTAGTTTTTGACAATTTCATAATTATGACCAATTTAATTAAAATTATTTATTACATTTTATATTACTAAACATAATTTTAGAAGTCTATGATTTAGTTTTTGACAATTTCATAATTATGACCAATTTAATTCAAAAGTTTTGACGGTTTAATTTCTTGACTGGACCGGTCATAAATTCGATTTCAGTTAGACTAATTAATCAGTTCAAATTGATTTTAATAAACTTATACGAATGTCTACGAACAATCCACAGATTAAAGTTGTTAATTGTATATGCGTCAAATTGTACGAAGGTCGTGGGTTATAACCATAACTTAAAAAATTTACATAAATAAAACAATATTAAAAAACAATAATTAATATTATCTTAAACTTTTATATTAACAGATAAATAATAAAAAATTATTCCTTTCTCTTTTTTTTAAAAAAATTCTACTTTAATCACTTAATCAACCTTAAAAATTAATGTTAACAGTTTCCAATTTTAATAATAATCCAAGTCACTAATTAGCAATTGATGCGGGGTCAATAATCATGTCAATTACAAGATTTGAGGTAAATTGAATAAAAATAACCTTCTTTTCTTTCAATATATTTTTTTCTTTGGACATATAAATACATGCTCAATATTGGAATAAAGTAGGTGCAATGACACAATCGAATTGTTCTTTTGAAATTTGAAAGATTACAGTTAAATGGACAGTGGAAATTGATAGGGACGACACTAAAAATATGTGAATTATATAACTCAATTATATTTTATTAAATACTTCCTTTTTAATATAAAATTAACATTTTTAATCATTATTTGTGTGTATTAAGTTTGCATTTAGCAACTTTCTAACCAAGTTACTTAAATTTTCGCCTACTTCCTTTCTAATAATATGTTTTAAAGTTGTTACTTTCTCATAAAAAAATCACATTTCAATGTAAATGTGATTCGGATAAAGATATACATACATTTTAATCACATTTAACGATTAAAAACAACTTCTATCAAAATAATTCTACTGAATTTCAAATCAAATGAACACTAAGTACGAAGCAAAATTCCTTTAAGAAGATTGATAAGATGAACTATCACCTTCTCAAAATACATTAAATTAAACACACTAACTATCTCATTGATTAATTATGTACGAAGGAAAAGGATGATAATGAAAATATCAATCAAAGAAACAACGTCGAAAAATGGAATTATTTAATTAAAAAAATCTATTTTTATTCTTAACAATTTATGATAAAACTCATTATTATATTTTCTATTCTTAAAGATTTAAAAAATAACCAATAAAAATATATTGTTTACTCATAAATCTATAAAAATAAAAAAATCAGAATTAAAAATTATAATAAATATAAGAATAAAAACAAAAAAAGTTCCTGAAAACAAACTATCCTTAAGTTTCTTTGAAAAGTTTATAGGCATTCCATTGCAAAGAGGGTGCATCTAATGTAGTTAGAAGTAGTTACTTCACGGAAACAAATAGAGGAAAAAGATAATGATGATGATGAGTCATGGCTAATTACTAATGAAAGCTACATTTCCCTTGGACCAACAAAATGGCAGACATTATCACAAATAGATGACGCATTAATCTGTGCATCCACACACCAAATACACATACATGCATGCCTTTCCTCAATTTATGAAGAACTAGTGACGTGGAGACACGTAGGCAGCCCAATGGAGAAAAAGCAAATTGCCAAATGGGGTCCGAATCTTGGTTAATATTACAATAATAGTTGACCATGATAAGTGTATCATCATTTGTACACTTTAAGTAACCAACAATACCATCCTAGATAAAATATTTTTTTTGGGTACACAGTAACATTGATTAAAGATTTGTGTAGCATATTCAGTCTTTGCAGAGGTGAATAGAGTTAAAACTGTCCTTAAACTACTCAAATCTCAACAATATCTCAGATGCTACACCATATTAAGCAAATATGCTCAGAGGACCTGTTTTATTTGATGCATCCAATCCATGTTCACCATTCCGAGTTCCTGTTATCCAGGCCCTGCAAAACATATTTGGAGGAAAGGTTATACTTATACATACAATTTTGAGAGGATTCTAAAATATGCACCACTGATAAAAATAGAATGATATAGAAATGAAATATGGAGAATTATGCAAAAATGTGACTAGTTTTTCTTTATGAAGATTTTATTGGCACACCCATCTTAATAGCTTTTACTTCCCTTTTCTGTTTGGGCATCTGAGCTATGATCCATATTCAAGAATACATGTAACATATAGTCATTCACACAGACGAAGATAAATGTGTAACAAGACTGAGCTCTTTTTCTCTCTTACCTTCTAACACTTTTGCTGCCAGAGTTTGTCAAAATTGTCAATCTTTTTGCTGTCTTCATGAAGTCACTGCAGTAAGATTGCAAGAGAAACACAACCTCAATAAATATAGGATTATGACAGAAAATAAGCATCTGAATGGTATATAAGCCATGGTAGTGCTGCCATATTTAAGCACCGTAGTGAAAATAAAATGATCTATTGACACCAAGATGGAAAAGGTGAAAAATACAAAAAAGGTACCCGAAGGGTTCGTCTCCAGTTTGCTTGACCACACCTGTTGCATCACGGTAGAACACGTGGTTGAAAATCTTAGATCTTTCTATGTCAAACATGTTGGCAAGTCTCCTATAAAGCTCTTCATAAGAACCAAGACGAGATAGGTCCAGTGTCCTTCCCACGTCTTCTGACTCTAAGAAAACCTTGCAATGACCAGTATCCAAGCCAAGTTGCCAAGAAAATTCAGCAGCAGAATCTTTTCCAGGTGAAAACTGCTGTGAGAACGTAGATTGAGAGTCATCAAAAAAGCACTTTTCTTTGTCCTTATCCTCATCTAGCGAATTTTTTCTAGTAAAATTATGAGACAATGCATTTCTAGAACACCCTCTAGAAATTTGTTGCTCAGTGAGTATTGGTTGACCAAAAAGCAAGAATTGGTGTTTCTCAACACCGTCAGATTTCTCCAAACTCTTATTAGATTTTCCCATGGTCAGCAAGCATGACAAGCTTTCTTTGCTCTTATCATGATTTGTCATGTTGCCATTTGAAATCCCACTATGCACTTCATGTTGCTGGCTATTAGTTGGAAGCAACCCCAACTGCAGTTTATTGTTAAGGTGGAGATCTGATAAAGATATTCCAATTTGAGCATGCCTGGCTCCCTGTATGCCTGCAGGAGCATTATCAGATAAACCACACAAGGGGTTGTTAGGCCCAAGCTGGTTGCCTGAAAACGTTGGTATTGGAAACTGAACATCAAGTGGAAAGTCCGGGTGTTGTGGAAACCGTAGCTTCTTCCTTGGAGGAGAGAAGGGTGTGAAATTGATGGCTGGCATGTTTGATACCAATTCAACCAACCACGGGCTAACACGCTTCACATTTTGTAGTAAATCTGGCTCGTCCCAAGTAACCTGTTGCGGCAAGATCAATCAAGACAATGTAAGAAAACTTTCTACAAAACCAAATTGATTTGAGCTATGATGTGAATGCAATAGAGTATCAAGAATACAAAAACAAATATCTTTTCCTCAATCAACATTTGGTAATTCATCCTCATAATCATAACATTCATGGGTTTACAGTTGCATGTGAATTATTGCAGGAAATTGGGGAGCTTGGAGGAGGGGATTAGAGGATTACAAAAGGCCTTCTACTAGATCTACTTAGTTCAAGCAATTTCTGTAATATATATCCACATAACCATACTCTTAAGAGATCATTGTAAGACTGAACATTAAAAAGCAAGGACAGATTTCCAAAGAAGCATAAAAAATTGAGCCCCTTGTACCTCATCAACAAGCATCTCATGGAACAAGGTATCTGAAAAACACTTTCTCCAAATTACCAAAACAGACACAAGAAAAAGTGTTCAGTTTCATGCAGTCTTAACAATTAACACATGGATAAAGGATGTAGGTACCTGAAGAAGTCGCCATGGGGAATTGGGCCAGCGGATGGGATCAACAACCTGAACAGAAGCAATGGTTCCCATGAACCAACTTATCCTGGAAGAGTCCTCAGTTTCAAAGGGCATCTTGAACCTCATCCCAGAACACCATTGAATTCTCATAGCCGCCCTAACAGCAGAAGCCTTAACACAAAACTCAGGAGTGCTAGCTCTCGGATAATAAACAACTTCAAATGGATATTTGCTAGCAGCTAGTGTCACAGCTTCCACAACAGCTTCAGGCCTCACTCTTGCTCTTCCACTCAGACCACCACAACCATTCCTCAACATCTTGTTCTCCTCTCTCATGAAAAACGAGAAACCACCGTAAGCCCCAACACCACAATTACCTGAAGCTGAGCTCCACCCAGATGAGGCCTCAGAACCACCACCCCCAATACCCTTCTTAGCCCTACGAATCCCAACACAAAGATCCCCATTCTCAGCCCTCAGAAACACCACTGAATCACCAGCAACCAGTTTCTTCTGGTTCACGAAAGTGCTCCACCCAGTTGTAAGCAAGTGCCTACGTGGTGTGCCTCTATATATATGCCTAAACTTCCACAACTCACCATGAACATCCTTTGCAACCACGGTCTGAACCGGTGGTTCAGCCGAGTAATCAAGCCGAGGAAAGATGGTTTCAGCACAGTACCTTGGAACTGAGAACCCCCCACCATTGTTAGCATCTGATTGGGTCAAAGTTTTGGCAAAAGATGCAGGCTTTTCTGAAGTTTCCAACACTTCGTCACCCCCGTCTTCATCATAACCAAGCTCTGAGCTTTTGAGAGGAACCAGGCTTATCTTGGCAAAAACCTCATCGGTTTCTGGGTCTGCCATGAATTTCACTGCAGCAACCTTGCATAGAATGAGTGGTGGAACCCTCAGATCAACGTTGGTATGAGCATGCTCCGCATGCCCTTGTGGAAAGTAGAATACTTTGGAGTTCACTTGTGGCATCTGAACCATGCCACCTGCACACGCGTGCCACAGTTGTGGATCCAAGCTCTTCTCACCCTCCTTCATTGAAAACACCCTTGTCATCAAACTCTCTCTCTCAGGGTTCCCTCGTTCAAACTTCAAACACAGAAAATTTGTGTCTACTTGAGAATCTAGATGATGAAGAATGTGGGTTTGAAATAATGAATTTTCACACCCCAATTGAAGAAAGTGACAAACTTTAAAGCACCCTTCTTTAGAAACCAAAGGGACTCACTTCCTCCTGCGCGCATGCACCATTCACACGTTGAGAAGAAGAAGAAGGTTGTGAAGAAACTATAGCGAAGTGAAACAGTGTTTTGAGAAATGGTACCTCTGAAACGTGTTGCAATGGTGAATGAATGTTTCTCAGATAGTTTACTCAATTGAAAGGAAAGGCTTTGAAGAATCTGAAAGATGAAGGGTAAGAGAGGAGTTGAGAAATTGGGGTTTCATTTCAGAGGCAGAAAAGTGGAAGCTGAAATCAGAGTCAAATTGCAATGATGTATGGTACAACATGCATGGTATCAAACTCCATCGCGAACACACAAACTTCATTCACCTTTCAAACCTGCTTCTGTTTTTCTTCTTTCTTATTATGTTTTGGTTTCTTTCAGATCTCAATCAAAAAGAAAAAGGAAAACTTTTAACTTCTTCCTCTCTCTCTCTCTCTCTCTGCCCAACACAGAGAGACACTCTTCGGAACCTGTGACCGAAACAAACGACCAAACCAAGTGGTCAGCTTACCAAAAATTATAATTTATTTATTGTTTAAAATAAATTATAAGAATGTGAATTTTATTTTGGGGTTTTAATTATTGTCATATGATGTGATAAAGATGGTAGGGGTTAACGTCGCGTCGCGTTATTATGTCAGAGAATATCGCGAGTTTATATCGAACCGGGAAAACGGAAGAGAAGCAGAAAAGAAGTGTGGTAAAAATCAATATTAATATTTTCGCTTTTATTGTTTTATATTATATTTACATTCAGTTTTTTATTATATTATTTATCATATTTTATGTTCTAAAACTAATTATTTTTTATTCTTATAAAAATATTACATTTAAAACCTAATTATAAATACTATTAACTTGTAGAAATTATTTTTAAAAAAAATTAATTATAAATACAACAACTTTTATAAAAAAAAATTCATTTAAACCTTCATTTTACTTATTATCTCTCTTTTACTTTTACCATTTCATACTCTTTCCTCGGCTTTTAGAATATTATTCGGTAAAGATTGACAGTTAATTGGAAAGGCTTATATTTTTTTAATAATTTTTCCAAGGTATATTTAAAAATCGATGACTTAAATTAAGTGAACATGAAAAACAAAGCGCATGAACTGTGTGAAAATATTTTAACTTATTCGTATAATACTAAATAAAAATTTCATTATAATAATACAAAAACATTTATTATATTCTTTGTCTTTAATACATAAATTTTTATTATTGTTAAATAATGGTAACATATTTTAGTTTATATATACTAAAATATAATGTTTCAAGAAAAATTATAAAAATATGAGTATTTTTCAAAATAACAAAAATCACAAATATTTTTTTTTGTATTTGAAATTTTTTATTATGGCAAATTTTTATTATTTTAAAAAATTTGTTATTATCGAACTTTGAATTTTAAAATATTGTTAATATTTAAAAAAAATCACTTATGAGTTTTAAACTTTTTATCATATTATCTTTAAATATTTATACCACATTAAAAATCGTTATTCACAATGAATTCCATGTTTTTAAATGGGATTCAAATAGAGAATAAAAAAAAAATTAACACATAAATATAAGTAATAAATGTAAATTCAAATGAAGATTAATGTTTAGTAAAAATTTTAAAATAATAAATTTTAAGTATAATTTTAGAATGTTTTTAAAGTTAAGATTAACCTATGAATATCTCTACATATTTTTTATTAATCAACTTATAGCTTAATTAATTTATTTTAATTAATATAGAGATAGAATTGAATAAATCATTATAGATAGCTAATAGTTAAAATTCTTTTGACACCTCTATCGTTCGCGGAGATTGATGAAAGTTATTCTCGTATATTGTCCTTCTTTAATCAAACAACTACTTTCCAATTAATATTCGATTTTTTTCTTTAAAATAAAAGAAAAATATTTAAAAAGTGTTAATCAGTATTTAACAACATTGATTATGAAATAGAAAAATATTTAAAATATATAACTAAAACATTTTTCATAATTTTTGTACAATTTAATATACTTTTAAAGAATTTTATATTTTAAACTTCTTAATTAATATTTTCAAGGCATTTTATTAGTAATACTTAAAATAAAAAAGTGATTTTGATAGTAAAAAAGAATGGAATAAAAAATATTTTAAAATATATATTATGCTAATATTAATTTTCCAAAAATATATTTGACAGATAAATTTTAGAAGAGAATAGAACAGAAGATATTTTTTAATTTTAAAACAAGAAAATCATATATTATTTATAATAATAGACATATTAAATTAAAAGTAATATTAAGTTATAAATTTTATGTTAAATTGTAAATTTTAAATATATTGATTCAAAATAACAAAAAATATTATTTTCTTGTAAAAAAAAACTTCCCTTCTGAAACAAGTTTTATATAATAAGAAGAGTGGCATTTGAAAGGCTGCCAAAGTGAAACGTGGGTTGTATGTTGTGATAAAATAAAAAAATTACAAAGAGAAAAATAAAAATAAAAAAAGGAAAATAAAAGAGTTGGGTGCCAAGTATTGGATAAAGGCCGGCTCTCTACCTTAACTTTATATGCCGAAAGTAAAAGAATGATAACACTGTTAGTTCTGAAAATGAGTTTTCATCAGATTCCAAACATGAAAGCCATGTTTTCCCCCCTTTTCTAGGTTTGAGTTTTTCTCTTTTCGGTGAACTTTTCCTCCTAAAAGCCACATTTATACCTTGATATTATATTTTGTATATAGAATGAATCCAACCCTTTAAAATTGACCACAACCCTTGTACTTGTGAATACATACTTGTTATTTTCTACCAAAATAGCAATGCAAAAACAGTTCAAATCAAGGAGGATTTCTCACTACAAAATTATTTCTATTCATGTTACCATAATCTGCATTTTGCTTGGGGTTATAAGTAAAAAACCACTTATAATTTTTTTATCAACATTTTGATCATTGATGTTACCCAGTACATGTTTGGCATATCGTTTGGGTCTTTAAAAAAATTTAAATTGATAAACCCCTTTTCTTTTTTTTTCTTTCTTCATAATGTTTGATAAAAGTTCGTTTGTTATAATTCAATTTGAGCTCAAAAGGTCGGAAAAATATACTTCTTCTGTCAAAACTCATTTTGAGTTTTCAACCGTGACTCTTTGCATATTAATTATCTTGAATAATTTTTTTAATCATTAATAGAGATAAAATAACATAAAATTTAAGGACAATTTGTAAATGCACAGTTAAAAGTTAATTAGAATGACACAACTCGAATGATTTTTTTATTCGAACTACTATTAAGAAAGTGTTATCAGTACTTTAAAAATATTAGTTAAGAAATTTAAAATATTCTTTATTGAAAAACACAAGAGTGTATTTATTCATGCGATTTTAATGTATCTTAACGTGATTTTCAATAAAAAAAAATGTTATTTTGTTGATTTTTGAATTATTTTTCTTAAGAAAATAATTAACAAGACCCTTACTTTTAACAATAAAATATCCAAAAATAATTAACAACTATAAACTCATGTTTACGTCAAAAAAGATAGCAAAACTTGTTTTTGCAAATGAAAACCCAAGCACACTCCCATGTCTTTTGTTGTGTTATTTTCTGCTTCTTTGATGGTGATTGAATGATGAACAACATGGCACTTATAAATTATAAAGGTGATAGATATCAACAAGGAAGATGGGGATATCCACATGCATGCTGAAGTTAGCTTTTGTCTATAGCAAGTGAATATGCTAATAAGATGGCATCCTCATCCCAAGAATTGGCTTTCAAAAACCCCGTTTGGTGATCATAAACGAGGGGACAGAAAAAGTTTATCTTGTTCTTTTCTTGGAGGCTGCTGGCCCCCTAAATTCTCTGGTGCCTAATAACACAGTGGATCTGACTCAGTTAACCATGTAAAGATACCCAGCTTGGATTATATAATGGAAGCATAACCCTTTTATTTAAACTTGTGAATTGTGATTCAAAATACTCATGCCAAAGTAATGGTAGTAGTAGTTGTTTGAAGTAGGTGTACTTGAGTGTTCCTTCATTGAATTGTATTAGTTTTGATAAAAAAAATAAAAATTAATTAATCTTATGCAAATTTTTGTAATATCATTTGATCAATTCAAATTATAATATAAAAATAATTTTAGTCAAGTTTGAGTAATTTTTTAAAAAAGGTTTTGAAGAAAAAAATAATAAAAAAATGAATAGTTTTTTTAATAAATTATGAATAGCACATGTTTTCTATTTTTAGAAGCTTTTTCATTTAATTTTTAAAAATAAAAATAAAATAAATTATTTTTAACTTGTGAGTGAAATTTTATTACTTTTATATCATTTTTATGATAAGTTATATATATATATATAAATATGCATAAACTGACATAAACAAGTTGTACAAAGGCTAACCACCAGCTAGTACGATATATATTGCCGATTTAGAAATGTTAACATCAAATATAAAAATAATAAATGATACAATAGAAGAAAAAAGAAAATAACAAAAAATAAATACAAAATTTGACAAGCATTGTCAAGGTAAAAGTTAAAATGAATGAAGGAATAACTTTCTGAGTTTTGATCCAGCTGCAGCAAAAGGTTAGGAATCAATCAGATCTATTGCCTTTGCTACATCAATGGGGGTTTAAGTGAAGTGACAACGTTGTTACTGTCAATTAATCATAAATAAATGTCTTTCAAAAGGATTTAATGTGTGTTTTTGTACATATGCCAATAGCAAGAAAGAATGCAACAACAAGAAGAACATCAATATCAAAATCTAAATAAAAGGGGGAAAAAGGAGTTGATAAATCAACCTAAAAAAGATGAGGTTTGGAGAAGTAAAAGATTGGTTGGTTAAGGATCAACGTTGTTACCGACATACAACATGAAGACAATTAAGAGACGAAGATGAAATGATAGAAAGAATCAATGCAGAGAGAAATAACAAAAGAATTGGATTATTCATCTTATTCTTATCTTCAACTCAAAGGCCATCAACTTAACATGTCTCATTTTGCCGTCCCAAACTGTAGATTGGGGCATATTTATCATCATGCGCTTATTATTAGTAATAGTTATAATGCCTTTCTTTCTTTTCTCTATCCATTGGGAAGTGCTGCCTCGCTTGTCCTTAGTCTTGTTCCTTTATGTTGTTATGTTGTCCCTTAAGCTTAGGTAAACCTTTTTTCTCTTAGATTCTAAATATCTTTTAGTAGAGTCAATTTTAATAGAATATATTATTATAAACAATCAAATTCTTCTTTTAAATATTTAAATGATATGTTAAGCTAAAGTATAGACAACATTTAATCAAATAAATCAAATTAAAAGAAAAGAATTATTCAACCAAATACAATATAAAATAAAATTATTACAGTATAGAATTCTGGGTGTTTATAGGAAATAATAAACAGTTAAAGATTATTTTTGAAGAAATAGAGAAGGTGGTCTCTGGGATAATTGAGTGAGATGTATCCGAAAAGTGCATAAATTAATTTGGGTTGACACAAAATTGTAATAAATGTTGGCATTGGGTCCCCAGAAATTGACAAATGAACTGAAGTTTGGGCATTGTGCTTCTTTGTGACTGTGTGCCCAAAACAACCGGCCACCATGGAAAATTGAAAACTGAAAAGAAAAGGAAACCCAACCAAAGTAAGAGCGTCGCTTTCCCCTTCTCTGCCGAGGGCTGAGTCTCAGTAAGTCTGACAATAATAATTCATGATAGCATCTATGTCAATTCACACATTTAACATAATTTCATATCCCTAGCTAATTTCTTCTTTTTTTTTTTTATAATTTTTTACTACCATCTTTAGACACATGTATTTCCCAAATATTCAGATAAAACCTTTGTTACTCAGTTTGAATGTAATTGACTTAAGTAAAAATAACTGTAGTTTTAAAAAGAAGTGTAATAGAACTTACATTATATTACATAAACTCTTCAGATAATTTGTTAATATAAAAAGTTGATTAAATTGAATTGTGTGGGAGTGATTTGGGATTTGGAGTGGATGTTTAGGTTGATTGGAGCTAATTTGAATATGATTTGTTTGGACTTGAAAGTAAGAGTAGCATAGTACATATGTGACAGCTAGAGACAACCCCATGCTACATGCTATATGCTATGGTGGGTGCAGGAATGGATGGATGGATGGATGATGGTGTCAAACTCTGTTGCTCTTCGTTGGCATGGCATGGCATTTATGACATACGTAAGGTGTGGCCCCCACTGCATGTTGATGGATTGGACGTGGATGGTCTCTCTCTCTTTGGAGTAAGGAATCTCTGTCGTTGTGTTCTCTCTGTCACGGGAGAGAGAGAGAGAGAGAGTCGGACATTCACACAGTGCTCTCACACTTGACACCCCTTTTCACTGCACCACCCCATATTCTACCTTACACATAAATTACAACTACAAAGCCAAATGGCAAATTGAAAGAGCGTTAAATAGTGAAAGAATGTGTGATGAGATAGTAGATGAATCCATGGCATAGTTACTTGACAAATGATAATGGCAAGTGTCGTTTCATGCAATATAGATATTAGATAGAGTAGGGGAGCGTCACAGCGTGCCTTGAGCTCCTTTTCATCTTCATGTCGTTCTCTGCACAATTACAATGTCGGCTCAGAAGCCTGCTACCTTTCTTTGCTTCTTCTCTTACCCTTCTACTCTATTTAAGACCACTAAGCGTCTTTTTAATTTTAAATTATTAAATATAATTCAAATATATGCATGAATTTGTCTATATTATATATTTTTATTAAAACAGTATGTGTTTTATATTAGAAAATGTAGTAATTAATCTTTTAATTAAGAATCAAAGGGACTAGAATTAGTTTTCAAATAATTGATTTTTGATTGGTAGAAAGTGTGTACGCGCCTTAAAGTTTACAGAAAATGAAATTATAAATGTGTGTAATGAGTATTAATTTTTAAAAGAACATTGAAACAGATTTTAAATAATTAATGATAGTGGAATTTTATTGAAAAATATGTATTATATTTTTATAACTTTAATAGAATAAATGTAATTTTTTATGCTTAAGCAAGGTTAAGAAAAAAAAAATCTTATTGAAAATGAAAATAGTGGCTGCACCATCCATTCATTCCTTCTAATTTTGTTAATATCCCCTTAGCATGAGGAAAAGGGAAAGGAGCAATCTTTGTAGACCTCAACCCAACTAGAAAGCGACATTAATAATTAACATCATAAGGATGGAATTGAACTAAAACAAACTACATATACAACATGAACACAATTTATTGTTTGAATTGACTTTACTACCAGAAAGTATGATAAACAAAATATCTAATTCACTTTTTAATTTTTATCCATAAATGGACTAAGCTATGCATGCTTATGGACTATGGAGAGGGGATTGGGAGCATGTTACTGCCTCAAAATAGAAAGTTAGGGTACGGACCATAAAGGATGGAAGCCTATTCACCTACGTTAGGATTAATAGTGCACATGCATTGATATCATGCCAATGCTCTCATGGTATATATAATTAGCTATATACCATAGGTGTTAGGGCATGTAAATCTAGTCTTTTAGACTTTAGAGGTAGAAAGGTACATGGGCATTCAACTAAAGTTGGAAACTAGCGTTAGAAGGTGGGGATGCAAGGACATAATAGGTTATTAATTCAAGTTTCACGTTAGAAATTTTGAAAAAAATTTGTTTTTAACCATACAAATATATTTAATTCTGTAGTTACTATAATAATATATAGGGTTTTGAGTCCATGCAGTTATGTATCATGTGAGAGTCTATAATTTTGTCTTTTAAAAAAATATAAATGAAAAAATTTATAATAATTTTTTAAAAAAATAATAAATTTATAAGTAGAGATTCTCTTTCTTTCTCAAACAATAGTATCAAAATTGATGATTCATTTAAGCACATGGACATTCAACTATATTTGGAAACTAGCATTAGAGGGTGGGGATACAAGGACACACTCCTTAATCACATAGGAACATTGCAATTCATGGTGATTCTCTTCAAATGGAACATGTATATACTTAGGAGTGTCAAGGGCAAGGCATGAAAAAAGCAACAAAGTCAACAAATAAACAAACTTCCAAGTTCCAAGTGCTTAACCTTTTGTTTAATGTTTGCCCATGAACACTAAGCAAATCTTGTCGGTAAGAATTACAATAATAAGAATAAAATCTTATTTTCAACCATAAAAAATATAAGTGATAAAACTTTGGTGGTCATCCAAGTATAATTCTTCAATAATGCAAAGTGTCACCACTATTCATTTATTCCGTCTCTTAATAATGTTTATACTTTTAGTAGTTCAAATAACCAATGATGAATATTAAATGCAGGAAAACCATTCATCAAATAACGTTTCATTTAAGAAGAGGATTTACCTCCTATAAAATAAACAGTGAACTTCAAAAGATGAATTTCAAAGTTATAATTGCTGATTAAAAAATTGATATTTTAATAGCGTCAAATTTGCCCTTTGGATAATTAGGATAAGTATTGCCACTTCTCTTTATATAACGTTTTCTATAAAATATGTTTTTTATCTGTTAATTAAATCAACAACAACAACAACAATAATAATAATAATAATAATAATAATATTTAAATAAGAAACTTCAATAAAGAATAATAATAAATGAGAATAAATTTTTTTGAATAATTATAGCTTCTTTTTCTTTTTTGTTCAAGTGGATGATCATAGTTTGAATTTACTATGAAACCACTTATGCCTTGTTCCCTTGGGTTGGGAACTTCAATTGTACCATGTACATGTTCACAAATGTGACTATGGACTGCCTCAGAAATGTCCATGACTTTGGATTTACAAAGAGCTTATCGGGGGTCTGCTTTGCGGTTGTGGCAAACAAGTTTCGAAATAAGTCTACCAAAAACTCTCCATTCAGATGAATGAAGTTATCTTGACCCAAAAACGAAAAAGAATTTAATTTTAATATACTCACTTAAATATTTTTTTTTTACATTTTTAATTGATTAAAAACAACTTTATACATGCCTTTTAAAATTACTATCATAAAATCAATATTTTTTTTAATCATATGACATTTTGTGATTAAATAATAGTGTAAAAAAAAAAATCTCAATATATTTTAAATTAAATTAAAAAAGCTTAAAACGAAGAAAATGTGCCAAATGTAATGAACAAGATCATTTTTCACTCGGATTATGTTTCACTTCCCACATTCCTTTCTTGTTTTAACCTTGTAATCGATGCCATGATCCTTTGCAGACATGAATAGAATAAAAACCTTACTTTTAGTACCTAAAATTATAAATATCACTTATTTTTATCCAAAACTTTACAAATATTTATTTAATAATACAGTTAGTTATGCTAATATCTTTTACTTTATTTTCCAATATTATTTCATAAAAAAAGAGACTAGTGAATAGGATTTGCAAATTCAAGACCTAAAAGAACTTGATAAAACAAGGGAGCTAAGTGACTAATGTTCACAATTTCAAGAACTAGAATGGAGTTTAGTTGAAATAAATAACATTATTACCGAGAAGGAAGTTGAAGGGAAATCGTCATTCAGGCCTACATGTCAACAACCTAAGCGAGTTCTTTCACTATAAATTTTGTTTCTTCTCCCCCCTTCATGTTACCTGACATATTGATATCATTGTCTTTGATCGTTAAATTCATGTCTTTGCAACACATCCAGCAGGCAATTTCAAAGAACACCTTTTATTTTATTCTCTTCCTTCTCAGAATTTTCAACACATTGTTTACTTGAATGCCTAGCATGCAGTGAAGCACTGATATCATCTTATTACCTTTTATTCTACCAATCAATTTACATAAAACAAATGAATGGTGATGCTAACTTGCTAATCGATATAAGATTACACCAGAAAAAAAGTGAACAATAAACAAGGAGAATCCTGTTTAGCACTAACACTCAATAAAATCTAAACATAATATTATCCTAGAGAATTTCCAGGAAGGTTTGATGATCTAGACAACAAAGAAGAACATCTAACACTCACCTGGGTGGCTTTGTTCCTCATTTCTAAGACCACCTTGTGAGAGTTTGAGTGCAATGATGCTACAAAAGTAGGGCTAGCTGCAGGCCGGTATTCAGGAAAGAGCCGGCCAGACCTGTATCGAACTCCACAAGCGTTGCACAGGGTCTTGGGACCCATTGGTCCCTCTCTCCATTGTGGTGTCTTTGTCATCTCACAATGCATGCATTTTCTGGGTGCAACTGACTCCTGTGATGAGGATCTCTTTGTCTCCGTTTTACTAGTTAGCAGGGAAATATCCTCTTCCCTCTGCTTCTTGTTGACACTGCTTAATAATTTCCCAGTGGGCTGTATTTCTAATTCAGAGTCATCTATCCTTGGACTTTTTTGAAAAGACGGCAAAGTAGAGGAGAAAGGAATTGAGAATAGTGGGCTGGAGTTTGAGGGACGCTGGCGTTTTCCTCGGGGACGCTTTGCCAGGATAAAAGGTAACTCCAAGGTGGAGTTCACAACTGAGGAAGCACTACCACCTTCAAAAACAGAAACTGGACTGTAGGTTTGACATTGGTGCAATTCTTTTCTGTCAAAAGAGACATTCTGGATGGGAATAGTTTTGCCACATGTAGGTCCAGCAGTCTTTGCTAGCTGTTTTATTGGGGAACCAGGAAACACACATCAAATCCTCAAAAAATATATAACAATTAGATCCACAGATGATGGATATGTTGCTATGTAAGTATCAGAAAAAAATAAATTTTCAATAATGCATGATGTTTTAAGTAATCAGAGACAGAGGAACTAGGTAATTTCTTCCAATATTTACATGTGTACACCACAGAGCTGTTCATATGAAAGGAATGCTACAATTTAAAGACGTATATTTTTTAATTATCAGATGCCATAAAGAGTCAATAATATCATGAACTACAGAAGAAGTTGGTAAAATTATTCGTGTCTTTTTGCAATTTCAGTTTATGATTTGCACATGCTTGTCTATTAAGTATTTATCTCCAAATTCAAGTGTATGCTAGTAATGCTACAACTTGATCTACTTCTTATTCCTGCCATGAGACAGTTTCTACTTAATCTGTGATTCCTGATCAGTCTTAGCCTAGCTGTCACCCACCTTACTGATGCATGTTTCGTGAATTTTAAATCCATATAGACAAGAAAAGCTTTGGCCAAGAGGAGGGTTATACATTATCGTGCTACCCAGCCATAAACCAAGTTCAAGCACACACATGAAACGTCTATCATCTACTTGTAAAGTATCTGAGAAAGCAAATTTTGCATCCTTTTATGTTATAAATAGCACATATTCATCATTCAGAATAACCAAAATACTTCCAAGTAATGTTTATAGAACTTTATCACTTTCTGAGAGCAATACTCGTTAAAGTTAAGACATGAATACCAAGATAATTTTGAGACAGATTTTTATGGTGTCAACTACTATGTTTATAAACTAATAACTGCAAATTTAGCATATAATAAAAGTTCATGTCAGACATACCTTTATCTCATTAAATGCTTCCCCTTCTATGATTTGAGTTTGAAACCAAAATACTCAAAAAGGGGGAATAAAAAAAAAAAGCGTAAGCAGGACACTCCAAGGGAATTGAGAGTACCACTGTAAGCTAGCTGTATTCTTCTTAGTACTGTACTGGAAGAAACATCTAACCAGGATGGAATCAACTCACTAGCAGACCCTAAAATGTCATGCAACTATGGTAGCCCTATTATCCTGCTTACCAAGAAATGCATGAAAACTGAATCTTTGGCATATGGTTTCACCTCAAGTTTTTCTTCTGAACTGGACTGAAGTCATTCAACTAATCTTTCCAGTTACCCCCATATGATAAACTATGAACTTACATAAAGCACTGATAATCGTACCACATAATTAATCAATCAATTAATTAACTAATCAGATATAAGTGAACTGAATTGAAGTAAAACTCTGATCTTCCCTCTGCATAAGGCAAGGGTCAACATGCCACCACAAAAAAGTTAATCAGACAGAGACATCCAGAGCATAAGTGAGGACAGGAAACTCACAGAAGCAGAGAAACTGCACTCATGTTTTGCATTCTCATTTAGAGTTTGAACACTCAGCTCCGACGATGATACTGAAAAAACTCTAAGAGATGGCTCTTCAAGTTTAAACTGATCATCCCAATCTTGTTCCACCCCATCAATTTCCACATCTTCAAGTGGGAAATCAAAAAATTCAATAACATCATCAAGAATCTCATCCGATAGACCATTCAAATTATTGTCAAAAACCCAACAATTCTTCATATTAGCAATACCTGAAAAAGAAACACAACAAAGCCAACCATCCATAATTGCTCCATAAATTAAAGAAGCTTTAAAGAAAGTGATTGGAAATTTAAATAAATCTTATCTTATTCTTGTCTGACATAGCTCATTGTTATAATGGGATTATATTATTATATGAACAAAGCAAAAAATAAAATAAAAAACGGAGCAGCAACAGCTGTTAAACCTACTGGAGGAACGTTAACGTTGCCTCATAAATAACGAGATGCTGAAAATTCAAAAGCAGGAAACGTAAGAGTGTACATTGTTTAAACTATTGTAAAAACAAACGCGAAATGCATAGTAGAAGATGAAATGAAGCAGAGAATAAAGATGTGTGGTGGTGCAGAGTGACAGCGTCTGAAAAACAAAAACAAACGTTTGAAATTTGAAGACACTGACAGGGGACACATGAACTCAACTCAGTTAGATTCCTTTCAATCTCATTTCTTTTCGTTTTTACGGCGGTGGCGCTTCAATCTCCATTGCCGAAGCTTATCGTCTTAACTCTTAAATAAATAAATAAATAAATAAATAAATATTTTCTTACATTTTTGACCTTTTCTTATTCCCCCACCCTCACAATTCTATCCCACAAATATTCTTTTCCTAAATTCTTTATTGTTGACTGCTTAGTTAAATAATTAGTTACTTATGTCAATACATAAGGATTGTCTCTTACTTTTTATGCATTAAATTTATACAATTTATACAATTTTTTTATTTTATTGATTACAATTTTTTTATACATGGGTATGTGTATATGTAAAATAATATTCGCATGACCGGAATTAAATTGGAAAAAGGAATTGTTTCAAGCATAAATAAATGAACTTTATTATATCTTTTTAATTATTATTTAAAGATACACAATAAAGAAATTAATAAATAATATATTTTATTAAAAATTATAATATTTAGCATTATCAATGAATAAGTTGTGTAGTATTAAAGTTAAACACATACAAAATTTATTTTATAAAACAAATATAAAATAAAAATACAAGTATCTACTAATTTAAAAGTTTAAGTTTAATATTTGTATTTAATAATTAAGAAGATTTATATAGAAAAAAAAGTTTTTAAAAATTATTCTAAATAATTGATGGATCTGAAGAAATTAACAATCATTTTAATGATTGTGTTTTGGGCAGATTTGATGCAGCTGACGAGGAAAATCACGCTCCAATGTAAATTATTGCATTGAAATTCCTTTTCTATTTTCTTGGCAGTTAATAATTGCTGGCATCAGTAGTAGACTTGGGACCGTGCATGGCAGTTGACATTAACACTATCAATAAATCCAAAGTTAGAATACTAACACAAGTTTGGAAAAGATGTTAGGATACACGTAACAAGATGTCTTGATATGTTTACATTAACATAAAAAAACATTCATATGTAAATTCATTTTAATGTTATAATTTATTATTTTTATATTACAATATGATTACGTGATTAATGTAATTTTATTAAATTTTCAAACACGTACGTAAAAATTATAAAAATTATCTTTGACACAGGAAATACACACACCAAAATGTTTAAGTTTGGGGGGATGCAAAATAATCATAAAATAATTGAAAAAAATAACAGTTAAAAGAAATAACTTTAAATTCAAACATAAGCATCTTTTAACATATATGTATAAAATGTTTTTTACGAAATTATTGAGCCTATTGTTGGTTAGGATCAACAGTAATTTAATCTTAATTTCAATAGTGTATAGATACGTAAAAGAGAACGAGAAGATACACGAGTACTCGTCAACCTATATTGCCCTGATTCCCTTATCAAGTTATCATATTGTTTTTGTGCAAAGGTTGGTTGGCATAACAAAATCTTTGGAACGCTTTTAAACTACTTCGAATTCTCTTTATAAGAAATCCTTGCTATTACTTTTAAGTCTAAAATATTAAAAATAAAGACTTATTTTGAGATGTATGAATATGAAATATTTTTCTATATCTTTATTTAATAAAAAATTTATATTAATAAAATCTTCACTTATTATCCATATAAGTAACTACATTCATTCATTTAATTAAATCTTTAAATTACCAATTTAACTATTTATTACTATAAATTTATGACGACTTCGTTCTTAAAAGTAAAAACAAAGGAAACAGTTAATTGGTAATAATCAGAGTCATAGTTGCAGAGTCAACCCCACAACCAGCTGATTGTCGCCAAATGAAAAGGAAGAAATTTCAAGAACATGAAAATTAAAAATAGAAAGGAAACATCAAAAAGATATTCAGAACTAAGCTTTCCATTAACGGACAAAACTTGGAACAAATCCAGTTTGAGCTATATACGACCGGGAATGAGATTATCGGTCTCTCAAACAAAGGCTGAACGCTAATCTGGTCTAATATATTTGTTCAATAAAATCTTTTAGACCCTGTTATCCCAGAAATTGTAATTCAATTTTTTCACTTCTTAACTTTCGACGTTCTTCTTCTTCTCGCATTTACAATTAGTAAGAATAAGAAAAGGAGGAAGAAAAAAGTAATTGCTAACGTAAGGACCTTCCAGAGGATGATGCCATATGCACCGCTTGATATGTTGTTCCATCTCTCCTGCAATTTAACACAGTATAAGGAATCAAAATTCAAGACACAAGATTGCGCTGCAAGTTACCAAATGTCTTCAGGCATCTGTACTATTGGACATGCAGAGAGATCTAAAAGTTACCAATTGTGGTCGTGCAGCCAACTTTGCACAGTACTATCCCTCTCATTTCTTATCCATTTTTATGCCTTTTATATTTAAATAAACTTTATTTCTTGGACAACAAATACGTATAAATACATCACACATAAGCTTCATATTAAAAGATATAATTCATGAGGTTTTTGTTAAAATTAAACCTACTACAGATGAACCATTTACACTATGAAGATAAAATTTAAATAAATAATATGCATAAAATAGATAAGTAACTCTAGATATCAAGTCTCTAAGTTACTGTTGTGACCATGATTTTTATGTTTTAAAGTTGTTCAAAATTAAGATACCCAAACTATTGCAACCATCAACTCCCATGGATATATGATTATCTGAAGAGCGAGAATATATTGAACCAGCAGTCATACCTCAGTAATCTGCAATGAAGTTTTATGTTGCTTAGAGAAAATGGCTCTCGCATATTCATAGAGCTCTAAGTCAAGGTCATTAAAAGACCTTATCTCCTGGAGAACCTCTTCAGGAACCTGAAAACGTGCCTGTAAAATCACAAAAATCATTAGAAAGTAATACAATGGTACAAGCTAATAACAGGCCGTAGAACTCTCCGACACCCAGGTCAAATAGGAAAATTCATCAAACATTAGACTCAAAGCAACTGAGAACTGAAAAGTTACAGATGTTGAAACAGTTTGTCAAAGTAAAATAAGTTCCTATTCATGTCTATGTATGTATACATGCAATTTGATTTGCTTACATGATATTCTGCACCATAGATACCAATCAAAAAGGATATGCAACACATGCATTTCACACAATACATTTTTATTATCTTGTAATCAGCTTCTTTAAAAAAAAAAACATTGTATGAACCCACAATTAATTATCTTCTAAAGCAGGGATATGGATTACGCTTGTCAAGAAACCCTTGTCACAGAATCGTGCAATTTCCAGCTAAAAATGCAACCAAACTCTGTGATAAAGTGTCCTTGCTGTTTTGAAATCCTGTGGAATGATTTTAGAGATGCACAAGTTTACATAATGAAAGTGAGCACATGCACAACACAAGCATCCCAGACTGAACACCACAAATTCAAAACCAAAATCTCAATAGCTTGAAATACAGGCACCACCTACCCATGCAAGAAATACATATGCTGGACAGTGGTAGAAGTCTACACTCAAGGGTGACTTAAAGAGGAATAGATATTCATATGCACATACATAGAATGATATTATGGTTATCATTAGATTTGCTAAGCTTACCTCCTTTGTAAAGTTCACTGGAGAAATCCTCTTTAAAGAAGAGATGCGTCTGCGTGATTGGGCCTTCCGTAAATTGGAAATACAGACTTCATAAGCATTCATGAGTTCTCTAACAGTCATCTAAAATCAATTAAAGATCAGCATGCTGCTAACTATAAGAAACGGCTAATATCTGAAAAGTCCACAAGATCATCGTGCTTGCTAAGATAACAAGCTTACATGGGATTCTGCTGCTTCTCCACTTTCACTTGAAGTAACCTCACTTGCTCCCCTGTCTGAGGTGCTATTCTGTCTTGCGGCAAAAAATAATGTAAGAATTCTTCCATATTCAAACTTCAACAACAAAGTTCTTTCATCAAAGAGATGCTTCTTACCTGATGTTCACTGCTATCAGGATCAGAATCGGAAAATGAGCTCCTGTCTGCAGTACAAGTACACGATCAATACCACATGTCAATGAAAATACAACGCAATCTATGTCCAAGACTATAAATTTCAACACAAAAATATGGAGAAAGGTCATTTGAAAGCATGATATTTGACACAACCACCCATATGAAAATAGTACTTGTGTAGGTGCAAGCAAGAATATGTCCATTAGCATCATGCTCCAAATTCTAAACCATCATAATGACTGATTTGCTTTTGTAACTCAAGACAAAGTTTGATGGAAACAAAGAAGTGTTAACCTGTGTTATCAGCAGTATCCAGGCTAGTGTTTGGTGTATTAAGCTGTGATATCACCTGAGCACCAACCACATTTGCAAACATTGTTGCAGATTCTCTGTGCTCCTCAGTAAGACCAACATATAGCATATCATCCAGTCTCTTCTGCAAGATGTACAAGCAAATGTCATAAATGTATCGAGGAAAGGAACAGCAGTTGGAAGCAAATAACCATATGATGCAACTGTCACAATTTTAAAAGCTCATTTATTACCTTCGCAACTTGTAGCACATATTTTCCAAGAATCTTATAATTCTGTACACAATGCCTCACTTCATGTGCTTCTGCTGTATAAGAATTGTTTGTCAAACCTGCAACCTGTTGAAGAGTCCACCAAAATTTGTTACATATATGACAGACATTGCTATCAAGCAACTTTGTGCGTACAAGATTTAAGCTTTTTAATTATATTTTGGGGTTTAAATTTGTAGGACATATACAACTTAAAATTAGGCATTCCACATCCCATCTTGTTAGGTACGGTGTTTGGTGTTGAGGCATAAGCTGAGAGTGGGTCACGCAACAGTAATATGGGTAAGTGGTCTTGTAGCTTAAGGGTATGTTTGGGAATTAGAGGGAAAGGGGGGAGGAGGACAAACATAATGGGTTTCTCTCCTTTTTTTTCCCCTTATTTTTATAATCATATAACTATTAATTTTAAAATAAAATAATTGTCGTTTCTTCTCTTCCCTTCCCTTCCCTTCAAAAATCAAACTCCCAAACAAAATATATTTGCATCACATTTTTTGTGTCAATGATTAGTGGCATCAGAACAGAAACACAGATTCCAGGCAACATACTCTAGTAGAATCACGACTTTGGAAAACAGTAAGATATTTGTTGTATTTACAGAAATTGATGAAGCATAAAAATCTATTATGTAGATTCTGCAGAAATACCTGGAATGTGGCTCCATTATGTACAATATCCACAGCCACAGGATGATTGATGTATTCTTGTAATGGCATTGCAAAGTCTTCCATGTCATAAGAATCATTGCTCTCCATGACATTTGGTCCCCTAATATACCTAGCATCTCTCTGTCCATTAAGGTCAACATCAATCATACATCCATCACATGGAAGTATGAAGAACATATTTAAAAAGTAATGGCCACTTGGTATAATCCAGTCCTTGATAAAATGATATTACATTAGCCAACAGAGAGACAGCATGAAGTAAAAATTTCATTTTCGTTTTGGCAACTTTAATGACATATTTCCATCTTCAACAATAAATGAATGGCTACGTTTTCCTATTTAAGCACATCTACTTCTACATCCATAACCATACCAGAGAAAGCAAAATTGTGTCCAAGATTACTTTTGAAACAAGAATTAGGCTCCATGCTCTTCTTTAATACAAGTTATAGAGTATCAGCAAAATGACTCTTGTAGAACCTCACATGAATTTAGATGCATTGAAATAGAATTCACAAATAGCAAATATCAGACAGTAAAATAAAGTATACCCTCGCAAATAGGTCTTCCCTCATCCATGGAACCAGATACTTCCATGGCCAGATATCCAGTGTGCTTACTCCCTTAGTCTTAGAGCTTAGGCGAAAAGCCATCCGTGTTGCAGATGTCAAGTTTGGATGCACCAAAAATCTAGCAGCAACCTCAATTGAAAATTCGTAAGTACTAAAGATGCGGTCAACTGGATCCCTAAGTATGGTAACCACAGAAGTTCTCTCCCTTGGAAGTTTGGATGTCATGCTATAGTCATCATGTGTAACTAACAGCCTGCATTTTGGTTTACTGCAAAATCACAAAAACAATAGAAAACAACACATAAGCAATTTATGTAGGATTCTATAGTGAACATTTTTCATCTAAAATGTGCCTTTTCAACAATGGACTGAGACTATTGGTGAGAATGTTGTGACCTTAGAGAAGCTGCTATGCTTTAGATGCGAAGAAAAAACAGCTTGAAGATCTGTCATAATTTTGTTGAGTAAAAATATTACAAAGACTGCTGTGAATGGTATACAAATTAGTGTGTAAAAAGAACACCAGCAAAGAAGCCAAAAGCGTCTAGATTTACAGAAACACGGATTACAATGACAAGCTACAAAGGCCTAAACTCACGAGAGAAAATGTCAGCGGACTTAATAAATGTTAACGGACATTTCAGGTATTATAAACGTCCTTAAACAGTCACAGCAGCTTAAAAAATGTTATCTAAGGCAATCCTCAAAACCTCTAGTGACTTTTTTATCTTTTATTGTCGAAAAGTGGCACCATCAAATAAAAAGCCACAAGCCCACAACTGTGCCGAATGGAGTTACTCACTAGAAGTGCCCACAACATTACTCCACAAACAACAAAAACAACAATCATTGTAGCATTTTAAAAAACTAAGAAAAGCCACTCACAGTTATAGGCATAATAATTGAAGAACAGTTATTAAAATAACAAAGTACGATACAAAGAATTCAGGCAAAACCTTGGATCAAAGCGCAACTTATCATAAGAGCGAGGGCATTCCAGAGAGCTGGGGTACAACTTTTTCAAAAAACTGCAGAAACAACACAATCAACCTCAATATCAATGAATTTCGTAACAGAGGAAATGCTTCAAATTAAACTTGTATCAGAAATTACCAGTGAAAATAAGTGCGCCCTCCCGTTCTAGGGACATGGAGGAAAAACAGCAAATCCCTTAGCGTGTGCTTATCTTCTTGTTTCATCTCTTTAGCTAGCGACGAGTGAGCCCAACTCCTAACAACTCTTTCGCAATGTTCGAAATCATTTTTCGCAAAAGACGCATGCACTGGTACCAAAAAGTCATAAAAATCAAACATAAGTTAATCCACAAACACATAAAGAACAAAAAAAAAAAGAAAAAACGATGCATCATTGATATACCTAATCCGAGAAGGATGAGCAACAACGAAAGGAACTTGAGAGCAGGATCCATGCACGAAATCCCTACTCCTGCGAAGCGAAAACCCTAACGAGGTGAAGCGTGAATTGGAGGAGAGGGAAACGAAGGCATCAAGGAATGAGAAAGAGAAAGGAACAGCAATGGTAGATAATGGACCTACCTGTATCGAACTCCGGGATCTCGTGCTCATAAATGTGTCGGGACTCGGATGATAGAGCTGGACCCACTCGCGCAAAAACGCCTTTGTGTTTTGAGCGGAAGCTGATTTTCTCGCCAACCGAACAGGAACTTTCCCGGGAAAACAAATGGGAACGAAGTTGAAGCTCGCGGCGTTTAAATTAGGACGCAAGAATGAAGTCTAATTAATTGTTCGTTTTACTTGGAAAAGAGTTGAAACACCGAAGAAATAAGAGTGGGGACAAAATGGTAAAAACACCATTCCTGTTGGGTATTATTTTAATAAATTATTTATATTTAATACTATTATAAATTATAAATTATAATTTTAGTTGATAAATAATATTTTAAAAATTATATTTAAATTTTGTCTAAATAAAAAACGAAATCAGATCACACAAATTGGAGGGAGAATATTGAATGAATTATTTAATGCTAGTATTTGTTATAGGTTTGAAAAAAACTTGATTTTAGTGTTCTACTTCAAATAAATATTAGATTAGCATATGATATTAAATGGCTGATGGGAAAACGTAAAATGAAATATTTCAAGTTTTGAGACTTATTATATGATATTGAACCATTAGTAGTGTGAGGAAACTTTAGAAGGAGAAGCTTAGAAAGTGGTACCCAGCGTGTCCATGTCATGATGAACGGTTGGAGGTTCTGCACTTTCTGTTTGTTGATTTAACTTTTGAGTATGATAATGGATTAATGGTAGTGGACCTTCAACTCCAAATGTCACCCCCACACTTTTTAGATCACTTATCTCGATACCAAAATCATAGTCGCATGTAATGGAATCCAATTCTTCAATTTCATCGCTAGTCCGCTATTGTCACCCTCTCCACAGTAACACCATTTTGTGTCTCACTAAGTAAAAAACTTTAAACTCAACGCCATAATTATAATTTTAGTTGCTATATTTTCAATATTTTTTAACTCTTCACATTCAATTTCTTATCTTAAATTTCAATATAATATTTAATGAAAATTTAACAAAAGCATAATATAACTGTAATTTGTGTAGATTGTTTTTTTTTTAATCTCATTTTTTATTATTTTTTAATTTTTATTTAAAATGTGTATAAGATAATATATAAGGTCGGAGACTTAATTTTAACACTTAAAAATTTACTCACAAATTAAATTAAAATTATATATAAATCAAAGTAAGGAAACTAAAATATAATTAAGCCTAATATAATATTTAAAGAACGAAAGTGTTTATTTATAGAAGTTTAAGATAAATATTTCATTAACACAAAATTTATAATAAATAAAGATACATAAAAAAATTTAATAATTATTTTTTTAATAAAGAAGATGAGAGGAATATTATGTTGTTAATTCCTTGACCATCTCTACCCTTAGTATACATAAATAGACATGCATGCAGCATGCACATGTGTTGCCGGTTACCTTCTCCCCGACCGAGTGTGTCGTGTCCCCCGAGACCAATCCAGAGTGAAATAAATAACATTCAATTGAAAAGATTGAAAACAAAAAATACTAATTATAATTGAAGATACATTGCAAAGATTCATTTGGATAAATTACACACCATCATAACAATGCTCACACAGCTCCAAAAACTGCTGCAAGATTCAAATCACATTGGGTGAAATAATGGCTCTTGGGAGTAACTTTAAGAAGAAAAAATAATCTCATTTGAATTGAAAAATGATAAGATGATTATATACTCGCAACATTTATACAATTAGTCAGGAATAGAAAAAAAAAATGAAAGAAGTGATAGGTACTATAATATAACAAAAAGAGAGAGACCATGTTTTGAAGTTAGCATCTATGAATCGATCCAGAAAAGAGCATTCTGATGCATGTTCCGCTTCACTATGAGGGAAGTTTCTGAACTTGAACAAGTGTAATAATCAAAATGTGTTTGGTTTACTAATGTATCTGTTAGATAAATCACAAACTAGAAGGGGTAGCAACTTGCAAATCGTCGTTACTCTCACATATGTTAAAAGTAGAGTTGTAATACTCCTTTGAATAATTTTTTTTAGCTTTAAGATGACTAATGTTGTTTAAAAATAGTGGGAATTCTTCTTACAAAGCTTGATTAAACTTAATAATTATTAGTTTTTCATCTCAGATAAAAATAACAACCTCTAAGATTTGGGGGATTTGGGAATAAAAGGCTTGAGCAAACCTTTTTAGTTCTCCATCTCATACAAAAGTAGCAACGTCTAAGATTTGGGGCACTAGGGAGACAAAAGTTTACAATTTCCCTGTACTATAACATGTATGGTTGGTAAAACAAATTCACTTACTTGCAATTACAGTACACTTACTGAACAAAAGAATTAATTTTGTATGCAGTGATAAAAAAGTTTTATGCTATCATTCAGCGAACTATTGCCACATCATTTAATGAATTTATTATCACATGAATTATCAAACTTATTAAATAACGTGGCAAGATGACAGTTTAGAATGTTTTTACATTACCACTGCATCAAAATTGAAGTCTAAATAAAATTTGATTTACACTCGTCAAGGTACCTAAACATTGAAAGAATCTTCAAATAAAACTGATCATAATAAACACAGCCTGATCTTCTTAAACAAGAGAGTCCTTGCTTGATTTCTTAGGCTCATGACTTTCCTTTTCTTGGTTGTCCATGTTTTTCCCAGTCAAAAGTGGTGAGTTATCTTTATCTTTAACCTGTAAAGAATCAATGATAAATAACCGAATTCTTTGAACATCTATCAACATTATGGTGGCATAAAGTGCAAAGAAAATTTCAGAAAACAGAGAGAGAAAAATGATAGTTGATCACGTTCATACCTGAGATGCCAGTGGGGGATCAACTAATTGTTTCTTTTTGTTCTCCTGAGTGCAGAAATAAGAATACAAGCCCATTCCAAAAATGGCAACTAGGATTCCAATAATGTTCCTCTCAGTGAAGGGGTCATGGAGCAATGTATACCCAAATGCTAGAACAAGGCAAGTCTTGAGGTGGCCTAGAACTTGATATGTTACTGGAGATGTTTTCCCTATAACTAGAAAGGTACTAAAGTTCACTGAAACGGCTATCAAACAGGACAAAATGATGAATATCTGAAAACAAAAACCATTTAACAACATCAGTCATATTTTATATGGTAATTTTATTCATGATCTAATATAAGACATAGTGAGGCTTGATATTTCATATTATTTACCAAGACTATAGGGGAATATTTGTATGCAAAGACATTTTGCTTGGTGAGCATCTGATCCACTAGAGGGCCTGAAACAAAAAGAATTGCTGCTTGGAATGGAGCAGATTGGTAAAGCAGTTGAGTGGAAGAGACGTTAAGCTTCTTCTGTATTGTGTTGGTCAGCTGAATTTCACACAAAGTTAAGAATAGACAACCTTACAATTTTAAGTTTAGTGATTCTAAATCATTATAGCTAGTTAATATTTAATAACAATAAGTACATGCTAACAAATAACAGGAAGAGTGAGCAGTGAAGGATACAATTTGGCCAACACATGTTGTTATGATAGCTAGAACTGAAAGAACGGTTCCAACAAAATTGAGCTGAAGGTCTGTGATAGAGGCAATGCCAACTCCAACAAGTAAGAGGAGAAGAGAGAATTTTATTTTCTGGCTGCACATAGTAGCAAGAGAATTTACAATTAATAATTAACATGACCATTGTTCTCTTTAATTTCAATATTACCATTATATTTAGCCTTATTATTAACTTGTTACCTGAACTGTTTCTTGAGGAAAATAGTTTCTAGCATTACCGTGAATGGTATGATTGCAAGTTTTGTCATCTATAAATCAGGATTAAAATCAATAATCTGCTGAATAATTCAACAGTTCAACAAATGATAACATATCTTCAAGTTAAAAGATACGTTTCAATATTGCATGCAATTAAGGGTCAATTTTTGAATATATTATAATAGTAAGTATTGATATAAACCTGGTAGAACCCAATGGAATTGAAGCCAAGACTCAAGTTGAGAAATCCAATGGAAACTCCGTTCAGAATGCCAAAAAGCATGACTGTCTTCGTGTCAACGGGTTTGGCCTCAAACAGATTCAAGCGTAGAGCCGCATGAAGGGTGCAAAATGTAACCATCAAATGCCAACTTGTAAGTGTTGTAGCTGGTACAAAATGGAACAACAAAAACGTTTATAAATTGACTTTTTATCGTGAAGGGTATCTAATTTTTTTCTAAGGTGACCAAAATGATAATCACCGAAAGGGAAGCCAAGATTGCTCATCAAGGCTTTGTTGCAAATGACAATGGAGACAGAGGAAGCCACTGAGAGAAATAGTGCACCAATAACACCCAATTGGAAGCTTGATATCTCTCCCATCTTTGCTGCCTATATATTTTAAGATTCTTCTTAATGCGGGACTAAAAGCATATATAGTCACACATATATGTAACGTGGCTTATATACATAGCATTATCGATGTATGAATGTATATATATACAAAAAGACTGCTTAAAACACAAAACTGAAACGTAATATTATGGTGTTAAAATTTAAGATGAGAACACCCATTCTCGTGTATCTTTATATTTTGTGAGATCTAGAAAGGAAAAATAGGTAAAAAATTGAAAGTAAAATACCAAGTCCAGCAAGATAAAAATGATAGTTTTTGTCATGTATACTAATGACTCATTGTAGGAAATGCGTGAGTATGATAATCTTATTAATCCATAGTTAGGTACGGTTGGTGCCAAAAAGAAATTGATATAAACCTACTGTATTTAATCTTAATTATTGAGGAATAAATGCAATATTTCAGATAAAGAAACAAGATGGACCTTGCAGTACATGCAACGAGTCCTGAAAGTGAACAAGTGATCACACAATACAAGGAAATCAAGTTGAACACACAAGTCCATGCCCCATACATAACTAGTCATCATCTTATCGCATCACATACCTTAATTTGAAGAATGGAAAAACGCAAATGGCTTTAAAATTCCAAAAGATAATCACAACCCGAGTTGACCAGTTAAACAACAAGGTGTGTATGAATAAGAGCTCCAAATCTAAGTTAGAGACAAGAGAAAGAGATGACAGTGCTGAGTATAGCTTGTTTGGGAATATAGTTTTTGTGGCCTTTTTATTTTTTATGAGAAGAAGTTCACAAAGTTCATATGTAGTTTGGTTGAGTTTTGGTCTGGCATGGCTGGTGGCTCAACTTAACACTTTAACGGCCATTTGAAGCAAAAAGAAGAGCAAGTATGACAATTTGGAAATCCAAAGCCTCGTTGGTATATTGTTCTTGCAATGTCCAAAAGAAGGAGAAAATGGGCACAATAGATAGCTGAGATGTTAAAATCATGAGGGTGTTTTAGTCCAATTGGATGCAACATATTCTATTCACATTTTCATCACCAAACAATTATTTGTTCCATGTAGCTTTCATATATTTTGTGTAGTAAACGAGTCTTGGCTCACAAGGCAGGATGGTAAGTGAAATCAACATTTATTTTTAGAAGAGGTGTCTGATATTCCAAGCAATACTCTCTCTCTAAATATCTCTCTCAACCCATTTCAGCATAAGCTTGGATCACACTCCTAATTCCTGAATCAGATGGCTTTTTAAAACGTTTCCTTCTAGCATCTCCTTCCCATTATTTTAAATGTGTGAAAATTGTGTATCTAGATAATGATCGGTTTTACAATTCTTTTCTTCTTAATAAGTGCATGTAGGTCCAGAATATATGCTCTTGTGTGACTCTTTTTTTATTACACCACAATGTTATGTGAAAATTTTATGCTTGTCTTCTTTATAGACATATATAAATTTTAATAAAGTCTACCTATTTAATGTCTTTTTGAAAAAAATAAAAAAATGTTAACAATGAAAATATAAATATTCGCATGAATGATCAGTGAGGGAATCTGATATAAAAATGTCAACATTTAAATTTTATAAAATTTTAAAAGAATATTAAATAGGTGTCTATAAATGTTTTGTTTTTAACAAATGACGTTTGGCTAAAAGCTTTTTCGAGAATTTATAGAAGGATTTTTTTTTTATCTCAAAATAACTAATTTAATCATATACTCAAATGACGTTTTGCTGATAACTGTATTTTTAAAAAGAGACGTATCTGTAATAATACGTGCATCCATGTATAATATAATGCTGCATTACACAGTCAATTCATGAGTAGAAGTTATTATATATACACAGTTCAATTTCGTATCGGTAAAGGTATCAAATTAGAGATAACATGACACTTACATATCCTAACGGAACACTTCAAATGAATTAAGTTCAAGTCATGTCTCATTTATCTGTGGCCATAGGCATGTTCTAAGAGCTTGATCTATCATCTGTGTATTGTATATTTTATAAATTATAATATGTTCTACATGTAAATTGAATTTGGGTTATTTCACTATTAATCAATTCGATTTTTGTAAAGTAGAAGGCGAAATTATAACGGGTGTTCTAATTTCATTGGTGCAAAATTATAACATGGTATTGAAAGTTGTATTGTTCAAAGTAACAAAGTTAATTAGGTAATCAATCTGCCAAATAGTAAGGTAATGAAAATGCCATTACACCAACGTTATTTTAAAATGAAGGGCATCTTTTGATTATAAAAGGTATTGCACCTGGAAGAGATCAAAACTAACCTACATCCTGCAAATGATAAATAAGGTAAGAGTGTTGAGAGATTCGTTCATTCTTGCTTCTAAAAGGAAATGCGATTTTTGGTAAAATTTCAAAAAGAGTACGTTTTTAATTTAATTATTTGTTTAATAAATTATTTTTACATGATAATTTATTATATAAATTCAATTTTAAAATTGATCAGAATAAATTTTTTTATAAAATTATATCAGTAAGGTTATTAAAATAAATTATAAAAAAATTATAAAAGTATAAGCTATTTTCATAATATTTTTTTAATGTCTTCTGTTCTAATGAAAATGATAGTATTCAGCAGAAGGTACCATCCACGTTAAAATTAAGAGATTTAAGAAATTGTAAGCCATTTATAGTCCTTGTAGTTTAGTTTTTTTTTTAAAAAAAATTTCATGGTTTATAAATAATTATAAAACATATATTTTTATTTTAAATTTGTCTTATATTTTTTAATTTTGTACAAAAATGATAAAAATATTATTTTATTGTTTTTATATGTTATTATTATTTATTCTAAAATGAAAACGAATATGTTTCGAATCAGATAGTAAAATTTTGTCTTATAATTCTCATGCTTAAATTTCTCGCTTTATGAAATTTTGAGGGAATAATTTTAATTTTTTCAAAATTTCAAATACACAATTTTAGAGCTTATAATTAATATAGTCTTCATTCTTTCCTCTTCAAGTAAATATGACTTGCTATTAGTATTTTATATGATCTCCAATAGCATTTGGGGTTGTAAATAATGTTAATAAAATATTTGTAATCCTACGTTAAATATTTAAAAAGTAAAAATGCTTTGTCGGCTACAATAACCTTACTCAATATATAGCTATATTTTTTTTTTCTTGTTTGGTTTATATATTTTTTCAAAGCTACAACTTTTTTTAAGAATAGTTCATTGATCCGTTGGTATTGCAGGCAGCCCAACCCATCGCATAGTGTTGGACCTCTTTTTTGGGCCTGCTTTTTTAGAATTAGTCACCAAGTCCCAAATCTTAGTATAACTATTAAGTAGAGTACCTAGTGTTAACTGACCAAAAAGAAAAAAGAGTACCAGGGGTTACAGTGGTAAAAACAAAAGAAGAAGAAGAAGAAAGAGTATATCTTGTTACGATACAGTTTTTTTATAGGCAAATATTTTATCAACGTCAAAATGAGATATTTTGTTGTCTGGTTTAATTTTGGATATAATTTAAGATATATATATATATATATATATATTATATACCATATCAATCGTTTTTTATGTTTAAAATTTAAATAATAAAACTAAAAAATAATTATACTTTGAAGACATGACAGTTAGCCTAGTTTGATAATTAAGTTTAAATAAACAAAAGAACGCTTCAAAAAATTATGTCTAATGAAGTTCAACTATGTAGGACACGGATGCTTCAGATTCCTTAAAAGACCTGTATCATGTGCAATTTCTCATTTGATATTAGGCAAATTTTCAAACTAAATTTTACTTCATTATACTATCATAAAAACAATATCTAAATTTAGGCAGAAAATCTTAACATAACAATTAATTAATATCAACAATTAATTACAATTGCATCTCTGACTTACCTTGTCTCCTTTTGGGGAAAATGAGTTGCCTCATTCTTCTTCCCTTTATAGCAAAACCGCTGACCCAATTTCCCACTTAATTTAAAAGCAAAATAGAAACAAATTTTTAACTTAAGCAGCAAGGTGAAAGAAAAAAAGAAAATTACAAAGAATAATTAATTAATCAGAATAATGAAGATTTTCAGAATTTGGAGCAGCTATGAGGTAGACCGGTATCTTGATCAACAACAACTACCTCAGTGGCATTGTTACATCTTAGAACATCTTGGCCCAACTTAGCTCCAGCAGCTTTGAGACCCTTCAGAGAAACTGGTTGATTGAAGAGGTTTAGAGATGGAAGTCTTGAAGCTGGTGGCATTTTCATTCCTGGCAAAAAGTTTCTAAAATCTTCCTTCAACAATGGCACCTCAAAGTCCTGTTTGTTATGTTTAACAACATTGTTTTTTGCACTAATATGTGCCCCGGGTTCCATATGGTTGGTGGAAAAGCTTGCTTGTTGTGGGAAATTTGGGTAGAGACTAACATACCCTCTAAGGTACATCATGTCTATGAGGAACTTCTTCCATGAAGCTTGCCATCCATTTGTTCTAGACTTTGGAATTTGAACTGGGTTGGCCTTGGCATCCTCAGTGAACCTCATGTTCATGTACACATAGAACTCTCTCCAATGCTTAGGGAAGAACACTGCCCCCCAACTACAGGGTAATTGGTGGAGGTAAGGTGTGTTGGGATGGATGTGTTTGAAGAATTCAGTGGCATTCCATTTGGGCCTTTCTTTGACAACTTCAACAAGTCTTGGAGTGTAGAGTGAGATTGAGGAGAGTTCAGGGAGAGAAATTTGAGGATCATAGTGGTAAGCCATGAGTGCATATTTGATCCATAGGTAATAGTAAGGAGAAACTTCTATGTCATCTTCAAGTAGAAGCCCAAAGTCATCATCAGAAGATGGGTACCAGCTTTCACTAACAGCCCGGATGAGCCCACCTTGGATGATTCTCCTTCTGAGGGTTTTGGGCCCGTGAGGCCACTCAAATGAACCCACTAGTTTTATTGTTGCCTCATCTACCTTGCTATCCATGTTGAAGGTAATTGGAACTTCATCTCCTAGATAGTAGGCATTGCTGAGAGATTTTAGAAGCCTTGCTAGTGAATTGACTCTATTTTGAGTAATGATGTTCACGGAAATCCTCATCCGGTTCCAATCTGCAAGAGAAAACCTATTAGATTAACTTATTAATGAAGATGCTCACATTCATTCACAGTATCCCATCATTAATAAAATATAATCCAGAATATACATTGCAAATACACTTGATAAAAGCTGAAGACTTCATATATTCTTACTTGGCAATGCTGTTGAACGTAAATCAGCCATCCAAAGAACTTTAGACACTGAAGCCCTGGGTAAAAGAACCAATGCGGTGACATTTGAATTTGTTTCTGATGCCATCTTCAAAGCGTTTTTCACATGAGGGTCAGTGTCAGCTACAGTGATCACTACACTAGGATTGTGAATTTTGATCAAACCCTTCATGCTGGTGTACACTGCTTGTATCACTGGTGCCTCTGAGTTTGATACACCAGAGAGTGATCCAATTGCCAAATCAAAAATCTTAAAACGACGTTCTTTGCAAACCACTATAGGCCATTTCAAAGCTGTTGCAGCATCTTCACAGGGACAAAAATTGCCACCAGAGACAACAATGTAGGCCTTTTTGCCAACTGTGGACCGGAACTTTTCAAGAAGTGGTGCAAGTGCTTTTACTTCATCAAGTGAGTGCGCATAAAAAAGTGCATCAATTTTTTGAGGGTACATTGCTGCCCATTGGGTCACATAACCTGTAGAAAGTGCTTTCCACCATTGATCATCTCTGACTTGAACTATGTCCTTGAAAATCACTGTGGTTTCAGACACATATGCAAGCCTGTGTTCACTATCACCCCATGTTTCCTTGTCCGTAGGGTCTGTTGGAAGAACAAAAGAGCCAGCATTTCTGTACTTCTGAAGCTGGTAGCTGCAATAAAATAAAATCATAAGAATTTTCAGCAAGCATTATTTAGTAATATAGTTCTGTTATTAAACAAATAAAAATTGACACTATATACATGACATTATATTATATACAGTTATTGTATCTTTCACTTACTTATCATTTCTGTAAATAGTATATAGACGTCCAAACAATGTACCCTAACTATATCTTTGGGATTTCAACCTAGTTTACAAACAATAAATTTTCTGCCTAATTTGTTTCCTATTGGGTAATATTGCAATATAACAATACATTCTCTACCAAGACGTAGAAAGGTATCTCAAAAGAAAGGAAACATTTTTTTAACGCAGATGAATAATCCAGTGAGAAAACAAGATAGTATTTGATATGGTCAAATTGTAATAACTAATAAGACACATGTAATTTGGTTGACTCATGACAAAAACTATATTTCCAATTTTGACTTCAAAAGAATAACAGATTATGATGTTGGTTGCAGCTTGCACTACTTGTTAGTGTTTCTGAACCTAATGTCAATAACTAGTTGAGCCCTACCAAATGCTCTTGGTGTAGTCAAATTTATCATTGTTTGACTTGAATGGTCAACGGTCAAACAAATTCACAACTAAGCATGTCTCTTTTCACCAAATAAAATTAGTAAAAAACAAATAATATTTTTTATTAAAAACTATTATTAATACATTCTCAATTTAATTTGCAATAAAAAATATTTATTAATTCATTAAGTAATGTTATAAAAGACACTAATTGGCAACCTATATAAAATTATATTCTTTTAGCACCCCAGAATAATAAACAAATCTTCATAAAATCGAAAAAACAAATGTCAGCGTGATGTAAAATGTAGAACTTGACAAACCTGAGGTGCAGATCTTCACCAGTTGAGAAGGTAAAAGGTGTCTCAATGAAGAGTGTCTTGACAAGCTCAGCAGATAGAAACCATGAACTAGATAGAAAATCCACCTGCATAATTTTATCAACCATGATATCATAAGCAGGATCTGGCAAATAAAGCCCTGCCTCTTTAGACCGAAATTTTCTATAACTTGGAAAAGTGAAGTCCTTCTGTCTAAAAGGCAATATCCTTCCTATACTTCCCAACACAGAGTTCTTGTACTTGTCTGTCCCAGCCACATGTGCTAAAATCTGCAACATCTTCCTCCCAGGAATCATGTCATCATCAACAATATACACCAAATCAGCTTCAGTTTGCAAAGCCATTTGAAATCTCCCATAGTACTTGAAATCATAGGTTGAGCTTATGAAGCTGATTCTTGAATTGTTATATGTCTCCACAATTCTCCTGAGTGAGGCCTCATTTGGGCTCCCAAATGAGAGCACCCAAACATGATGGAAAGGGAGGGTCTGTTGGAGCAAAGAATCAAGCTGAGAACAAAGAGTTTTTCTCTTGAAGTGGTTTAACAAGACTGTGATTTTTGGCCTGTTTGGACCATTCAAGTCCCATATGGATTTCATTGCCATCAGCTCTTGAAGCGTCTCAGTGCCAATGGTTTTGCTTTGGAAGTTCAAAACCTCCTCATAAAGTTCTCTCTTTAACTTGATCATTTGCACATCATTGGACTTCTTTTGCATGAAATCTATCTTCTCATTCTCACAAACTTGGGATGGTGTTGTTGGTAGAACATTATCCTCCATGATGAGAGAAGAAGCAGCTTCTTGGTAGTGACCAACAACATGGGGTGTGATCATAAGTTGCTTCCATTGTTGGGCAATTCGTGTAGCCCATGTAAAATCTGGCCTGGTTCTTAAATCAATAGAAGGACCCATATAATACAATAGGAATGTTGCATAAACTGCAAAGAAAAACTGAAGACATGTGAGAGCTGCCACAAACTTTGTGGAGGCACTTTTTTGAGCCTTCACTTTGGCCCTTCCTCCAACATAATCATTAAGCATTCCTTCCAAGTAATCTCCACTTCTCACGGTCGAATTTCGACCAAAACCCATTTTGCAAATCGGATTTGATGATTCAATGTCCTCTGACCTGCACAAGAACACAAAGATAGACACAAAGTTAGTACCTACACATTGGCCACGTTGCAATCACAACTTTGCAAAGGAAGCTCCAAGTTGATCCTAACCAATTAGTCTTTCAAGTTTCAACACAGAAACAACTATTGATATCAATGTTTTTGTGATTAAATGGGAGAGAAGAGCAACGGTTTGTTTGCTTTATATTAGTGGAGAAGGTAATAGAAAGTTAAGAAGTTCCCATGAAAATTGCATCACAGGTCACATGGGCTAAACGTTTATTGTATAATTAAGAAATGTTAGCAAACGCGTCAGCTTCATTCACTATACACTACTTCATGCATACTTTTTTCCTTAAGATATCAACAAAAGCCAAATTTGATGCCGTAGAAAAGGGTCACCCCAGCGTTTTTGGCACTGCATGGTCTCCTAACTACTCTCAACCAAATTTTCACTTTCATAAACTTGTTATATAAGAAAAACAATTTCCACACTCATGCATGCATTCGGATATTAAGGTTGTAGAGATTAGTATATAAACTAAAAAATAAAATAACAAGAAAAACATGATATAGGGGCCTTTAGTCAAAACTGAAAATTATCAAATTCCAATAAATTATGTGCTTTAATACGTGAGATACGTTTCATATAAAGAAAAACACATTATATAACGTTTAAGGCACAAACAAACACGAGAAAGAACATGGGGGTGGAAGTCATACGTACATTACACACTAGCTTTTGGCCACAAAGAGAAAACAAAGCCTTTGCTTCTTGAGCAAAACAAGTAAGAGAGCTATAAAGATTGATACATATATAATGATTCACACCGAAATAAATGGCTGATTTGCTGTCAAAGAGTGAGGGCTAATAAATTAGTTAGGACTCATTAAATGTTACATATACGTGGGTGTATGTATATGGTGTGCTTGACCTTTGAATGAAGATACGTAAATGAAATTAGCAGCAAACTTTTGTGAATGGCTAATCGCCAAACTTAGGCGGGTTCGACGCGAGAAACTCATGCCACGGTTCACTTACAAATGAGATAATTCAAATGTATCTTTGATATCTTAGAATATGAAAAATAGGTTTTGGAATAATGACAATCATTTTTTCTCACTCCCTTCCATTTTATACGTTCTTCTCACAAAATGTACACACAAGTTAAGAAGATTAATATTCTTGTTTATAGTGCCTCTAGATATTTTTATTTAGGATCAAACTTAGATATAATAATTTAGGTAATTTTAATATTATGTTTTCGTAAATATGTGTGGGTGTGTTACAAAAATACAACTAAGAAATATAATTAATGATTTTTGTACATTAACCGGCCGCCAAGAACTTTACAAGATATGAGTTGGATAAAAGCACGGTAAGAGAAAATTTGAGGTGCTTAATATGACCTCCATGATTTATTTATGATAAGTGCAGAAAATACTTTAAACTTAAATAGAAATAATGAAATAATTAAAAATGGTTAATGATATTTTAATGTTTAAAAGAATAAATTAGTAGAAATAACTTTTTTTAAAATAAGCATAGATTAAGCAAGACGATGTTGGGTGTTAAACGTAGGTAAATGGTTCATTGACATTTGTTATTACTCATTACTCAATTCGGTTCAAATTGGTATATGCATGGAAGGATGCCTTACTTCTGTGTCACGTAAGATCTATATAATACTTTGGGGGGGTTAGATTTTAATCCCCAATGACATATTTTAATGAGAATAAAAAAAATCAACATTTACTATATTAACATATTTATTGGTTAAAATCAAAATATGATTTAGATATTGTAAATTTACATTAATATTGTGAAATATTATATCAACTTCTAGTATATTAATCATATATATTCTTTTTTATACAGACTAATTATATTTATATTAGTAGTTTAATTTTTATGAATTTTTTCTACCCTTGCTTGTTTTTCATTCCGATGATGGTGAAGGGTATGCATGTAACAAGTTATTTTGAAACTACCTCCAACCATTAAATTTAGAACAAAACTTAAATGTAATATCATTTGTAAGGTTGATATTTTTTAATTAGAGTTAAAATTTTATTTTAACAATGTATATAATAAAAATTAACATTAAATGCTAGCACATAGTATCAAAACAAAACTCTAATTTTAATTCAAAAACATCAATAATATTTATATTTTTACGCTTAAATTTTATCTTAAATCTTATTATCTCTTTCTTGTCATATTATTGCTTTTGCCTCTTTATGTTTTAAAATTATTTTTTAGTTAAACAAGTTTTACCAACTTTTTAAAATATTAATGTTAATTATTTTTTGATTTACTTGAAAATAAAATTGTTGGTCAATTTATTAAGTTGAAAAAGTATATATTATTTTTATTAATAATTAAAAATATATCGTCTCATTTTTATTTTTAAATATTTGCATAAAGAAATGGTTAATATAATAAAATATTTTTATATAATTTTAAAAATAGAAATAAAAATATTATAATTTTTTATAACTGTTATAATAAAAAAATATTTTCTTTATTTAAACAAGCTTTAATACTTTTGATGGTTTCATTGTTGATAATGTAATTATATGTATTAAACTCTTAAAAAGAAATTTTTTTTGAATAGTCTAAAACTACATAATCTCGGTCACTCATATGTGTTAATTTTTAAAAAAATACAAATGTGTTACACTTTCATTAGTTGAGATTATGATATCTAAAAGTGTAATCTTCCAATATTTTCATTTCACTAGAAGTAGGCACGTGAGGACTTATTAAATGCATAAAAATGTCAACGTTGAGGTATATAGTCTCTTCCTATTCCAAGTTTGAATTAATTGGGTTTCATTATCAATCGCATTTGGTAGTGGAAACCACATAGGCAATTGTTGGAGCTTGTGAAATTTTGTTAGGACGTTTGGACTTTGTGTAAACTTTTCAAAAAGTTTTTATAAAAAAGATTAATATAAAAAATAATAAATTTTCTTTCATAAAATTAAAAATAATTTTTATTTTTATTTTTAATTGAGAATCTCTTTTATTTAACTTCTTTAAAATTTAAAAATAAATTATTTTTAACTTGTGAGAAAAAAATTATTCATTTTTATATTATTCTTTTAATAAAAACTTCTTTATAAATTATTCAAACATGACCATAATCTTATATTCAAAGAAGGTATGTTGTATACGTTGCAAGAGTATTCACTGATCACCACCATGGCCAACACCCTTCCATTATTATTATTCGATAAATGTTAAATTTCTAGAATTGAGTTTAAATAATTAACGATACTAAAATTAATTTTAAAAACATTATTATGTTTTTATAATTTTAATATAATAATAATACATTTTTAAATAAAAATTCATCTTGCTAATAAGTATTTTTAAGATATCAGTTAAAAAATTAAAAAAGTAAGTTTTATTAGAAATTATATTAGATTGCATTAAAAATTACAGAGATAAGTACATTTATTATGTTTTTTTATTGCAAAATATTTTTCCCTTAATTAATGTTCTAAGAGCACTATTAACATTTATAAATGTTATTACCTTTTAATATGTAAACTCAATTATTATTATTATTATACCAGCGTGGGTTTGGTCGGTAATCAAATTAGTCAAACCCAAGCGAAAATTTCTGGTCTTAAATGAATTGCAAATCCTATGTTATTCTGAAAAAAAAAAAGTGTACTTACACCTAAACAAAATGGACAAACCATTCCCTCTAACAAAAACAAAATAAAATTCTGAACAAGCCATTGAACCATTGGTTCAATCCCTATCTCTCTCTGAAATTATTTAGTAACTTAGTGACTTTTTTCCAGTTGCATTTTATGCCATTATTATTTTTCAAATTGAGCTCATTTTTTTTAAGAAATTATTCTATTTCTTAGAAAGTCATGTAACTTTTCCTTCACTGATTCTCATTTAATTATATTTTTATTCTTCTTGAATATTATTACACAAATTTATTTAATCTTATTTGACTTTTAAAGATAAGGGTTAGATTTAGTTATGTTTATGTACTTCATTTATCGACAATTTCATTTTTAAAATATGAACATATTTTTTTTAATCTCTTAGAAACTAAAATGATATTTTACTGAAAGGAACAACCTAATTGCATGGGCTATTTTAACTGTCATATGTTTGAACTGAAATTATTTAGATGATAGGAAATTTTGTTAATATCTAATAATGTATTTGACCTTTTGTTTTGTTACCCTCACTAGAGTGGTTTGTGTTATGCATTATCCACCGAACAACACAGAGAACAATGTTCTAATGTGATTGCTGACTTTTCTACTTCTCTTATATTCGTTTACTTTTATTGTATTTCAATATACATCAAACACAACCAATTAAAGAGACTTGGATGGATCAAAGTTATAAAAACTTACTTTTTGAGTGAATGCTTTCCATCCAATTATAAGAACTTTCCTGTCAAACTAGCCTAAATTATTTTCCACCAAGTCTTTAAAAAATACCAGTTTAGAGATCTATCTCCATTTGCGAAAAAGTAACAACTTTTATGTCGACTGTAAAAGAAATGCTAATATTAATTTTTATACTTAAATTTAAACAATTTTTTATTAAAAAATATATTTATTAAATTGAGCATATAAAAGTGCAATAAATATTAATTTTTAAATGTTTAAAATAATCACGGAAGGCTAATATCCTAAAAGAGAAAACCATGGCAAACATTAGGACTTTTACTATTTTTTTTTTGTTGTGTTTTAATGCAACAATGGGCTTGGTGCACAATGAAAGGGTGAAAAGGGAAGAAAGAGAACAAAAATCTTACAATCCTCATCCTACACGAATCCTCTTTGTGCTGTTCCATTCCTATGTTTTTGGCAAACAAATTCAGTCTTGAAAAACCAGAATTCGCATTGAACACACAAGTTAGGCTTGAGGGCTAGATTTAAGTCAGTTCTATAGTTTACACTAACAAGAAAATGCAAGTGCATAAAAGAATTCTGGCTTGAGGAAATTGTGGCCATAATAGTAGTTGTCTCTTTAACCATTAAACTAACAATTGTCTCTACCCAACACTTCCATAATCATACAGTCACCTTGAGATGTCACAATTTGAAGAGTAATCTAGCTGCTCAGTTTCCCAGCTTAGCTTAGATGCAACTCTTTCATGTTGTGGAAAATATTCCTATAACAATGTAACCAAATCATATCAGATTCAACGAATGAATTGAAACATCTTATAAAGCTCTAGCTAAAAGAAAGGTAATAATGTTAAAGGGTACTTAAGATACTGAATATTGATTAACAAGACCCTAATAATGATAAAGAGAGAGATGGTAATTACTTCCATCTTTTTGACAAGCTCTTTTGTTGATGGGGCAGACACAATTATATGGCGAGCTTTGGGGCTAATGAAGCCTTCCTCCACAGCTTTGTCAATGAATGACAATAAGGAATTGTAGTATCCATCTACATTCAGCAACCCCACCTTCCAAATCCAAAACTTGATTTAGAAATTAATACTTTCTCCATTTAAAAAAAAATGTCACAGTAGTTTTCTTTAAGTATAATTCTTGAAGGTAATATAATATTAGTTTTTTTTAAGTCTTTGAAGAAGGAAACTTACCGGTTTATCATGGATTCCAAGCTGAGCCCAAGTTATCACCTCAAGAAGCTCCTCAAGTGTCCCATAGCCACCTTCACGAACAAAAGGAACACACAACATCATTAATTATAGTTTAAAGTTCTACCTGTTTCTCAAAGTTCTAGATCCTTACAGGCTTAAAAAAGATGATTGTAAAGTACACAGAGTTGCTATATAAAATGAAATTTAAGCAAAAAGTTACGAGATGATTGTATTTTTAACAATTACTTTGTCTAACCTGGGTGAACTGCATCAACTACATGCCACTGAAGAATTTTCATAGTTTCTTTAATTTTTGTTTATGGAATTTATATTTTCAGAAACCCATGTATTTATTTTCTTAATTGGTTTTCTTTTTTTGGTCGAGTTCTTAATTGTATTTGACTATATACATAAGATTCATTTTTGTGTTTGGTCAAGATATGCATAAGATACATTTCTGTTTGTCAATGTATAATATACATATACTCACATGCAAACAATGGCCAAAATATAAATGGGCCCAATGCTGTTTCTGATTATTTTTTGTTCTGATCCACGGTCCAATGCACTTCTTAAAAGGCAAGAAGTGTCCATGGGCCCCATGATTTACTTTTATTGGGCCTGTGAGAAATAAAAAGTTGAGGGTAAACCCTAAAAAAAAAAACTTGCTAGTTTACCAAAAAGAAAATAACTTGCTAATACCTTTTCTTCAAAAATAAAATAAAATAAAAGTTAATTGCCAACATTTCAGGTTTAAGGTATACATAATGTCCCCCCCCCCCCCCTCCTCCCCAAAAAAATGCCAAGTAAATTATATGAATATACTTTCTGCACATTATTTTTAAAAATATGTATTTTTATTATATATATTATGTAATTTGTAATATATAATTTTTAAACATTTTTTATAATGCTTCAAAGATTAAGAGGACATTGTATATGAAATAATTATTATAACCATTAATATTATATTAAATGTGTATAATAGATAATAAAAATTAATGATGTATTTTAAAAAGACATAAATATCCTTTAATTTTTAAGATATTAAAAATATCATAATTTAAAAAAATATATAAAATTTATAGGTATGGTCATAAGCACCAGATTTTTATTAATTTTTTAGCCAATATCCTTGACAATACCCTTCCTATTTAATAGATTTCATATACATTTTTGTCTAGTAATAAATATTACTGTACATGTTGAATGTATAGATACTAAAAAACAGCAGTTTTCTTAAGTGCCCCTACGTGAATCTCCTTTCGAGTTAGTGAAAATTTTAACCTGAACTTAATTTCTTTTTTTATGCCTGAAACACATGGTTATATTTTTAAACTCTATTCAGTTTCGCACAAGAAAATAACACAATAACCATTGACATGCAATTCTATTCTCACAGATTATCAATCATTAACAATTTAAAAACACAATAATTATTTTCCTAAACTTAAGAAAAGTTTTTTTAAAAGGTGGTACCGAAAAAATTTGAACAAGACAAACAAAATGTAGGTATATCCAATTACAATCTTCATATTTGGCCATGAGTTAGTGGACATGGGAAATTCATTCTATAATTATATACTTAGATCCCATCTTACAATTTTATTGGTGTAATGCACAAATAAAGTAGTGCATCTGCATCAAGTAAGTTGAAAAATCTCTTATGGATCATGTGGATTTTATCCCCGACATGTCTATATTCCACCTGTGGATGAATTTTAATGTCCTGACATTCTAACACATAAATGATTTGTAGTTGACACGTCACATGTGTAAATTTATTGACATGTAATGTAACATCATCTAGTAAGCAATTGTACTTTGAGTATCACTTTCTTACTTTATTTTGAAATTGTAATTAATGATAAATAAACATGTCATGTAAATGTTTTAATTTAAATAATTAATTACACTTTTAAAAGCATTTTAAAAAAAACTGAAGCATATACAAAATAAGGAGCGGTACCAAATACATTAAGAAAAATCTTTGTTTTTTTTTCCCTCATAATTAATCAGCACTTAAATACTTGTGTTTCGATTTTTTTAACGTATATAAAATGACACATAATAAGAAATTATATATAATAAATTTTTATTAAAAATTACAATATTAAATATAATTAATGCATTAATAGTTATAATTTGTAATAAAATTTACTGTACATAATTCTTCATTCTCTGCAATATTATATATAAGTTAAAAAATGATTGATATTTAATAATGATATGTGTTTTAAGAAGGAATATTTGTGAAACCGGGTTTTACCAACCGGGTAAGGCAATAAAGGCATCAGAGTGCTTAGCCATTTCTGCTTTTCTTTGGTGCATGTCTGCTACTGCCTTCACTTCCCCCACTGTTTCCCCAGTAATCTGCAAAAAGCCACTGCCCAAATGAATCCAAATTGTCACTGAATCCAGAAAGAGCTTTTGTGTGCATGTGTAATAGCCAGTTTAAAGATAAATATCATTCATTTTAATAAAAGTAAATTTATATCATTGAATATGATTAAGATACGTGAATATTTTAATTTATTCAATGCGTTTTTATTAAATAATATATAAAAAAAATACATGAATGCATGCATAGGAATGGAGAGGAGTAATGATGAGTAGTGCAGAAGTGGGCTCAAGCGGAAATCGTATTAAGTTGGCAATTTTCCTCGGGAGAAAAACCAAACAATAGACCAAACAAAGAAAGATCGAAAAAGTTACCTCCTCAATGATAAGAAAAAATGGGGGATCAAAGAAGGGTTGGCATAAGAATCTAAAGAGGGTACATGGAACTTGGAGAGAGAGGGACAAAATTGTTCAGAAGGAAACGACCCCAGATTGCCAGGTGTATTGATAGGTAAGTTTTGAAAGAGACCCAAATTGTGAAACCAAAACAATGTGAAAAGCAAGCACAAGCCCCACTTGGAACCTATTAGAATCACTCACACACACACACACCAAAAAAAAAAAAAAAAAAAAAAACTGCAAAATCCACATATTGGGATAACAAAAGTAAGGTGCAAATTCATTAAAAGAGTATGCGTAGTATTGGAACAAGAAAAGCATATAAACATATGGTGGTAGAAAGGGAAAGTATATGTTGTAGTGTAGATAATTCTCTCTGTCTCTCGTTCTCTGTGTCCCTCTGGGTAGCTGTTTGGTCATTTTCTTTTTATTTGCAATTGCAATCATGATTCATGAAATGCCTCCAAAACATCTTAACATTACCTCTCTTGGCATCAGTGTCTTGGGAATAACTCTGCAGACAATATCATGACAAGAGATAAATAATTGAAATTAACAGCATATCTATTAATCCATCACAACACCACCAATACAAATCATAACCAAAGATGATGCTTACCCAATTACATGGCGACCTCCATCATACACTGCCTGGGAAACCAAGCCCATCAAACCAATGCTGCCTCCTCCATAAACCAGATCAATATTTCTTGACACCTTTTTAACATTCCAAACATTATCCAAATACTTCAATTAAACCTATAATATACCAACAACTCTATTTCTGTGAAACCATGTAATCACACATGGTTTTGCAAAGACCATACTACATAACATCCGTGAAAAAACACAAGCTATTTTTTCAAAATTTGAAATGAACTAAAAGAGAGAGTAATTTTACTAACTTAAAGGGTAGCCCAGATGAAAAAAAATTTCCACTTTGCATGAGGGTCTCAATTATTTGAAATGTGGATTAAGAAAATGATGGGGGTAACAAGAAACAGATCAAGGAAGACCAAAACGCAGGAGGAACCAAAAAACAAAAGCTAAAACATACAAACCACAAAACAGTACAAGAAAAGTTAAATTTCCAAGAAGACAGCAATGTTTGAAAGTAGCAGAAACATGTTTGAAGGAACATATCAATTAACAAACATAAAAAAGAGAGAGAGAGGCATTACCAGCTCCTTCCCAAGCTCAATAGCAGCATCCTTATAACTACTCTTGTTCCCAGGACTGCTTCCACAGAACACACAAATCCTCTTGAACCTTGATTGTTTAACTTTCATCTCAGTTTCAGCTTCTTCACCCTCCATCACCTCCTTTCTCTTACACTGTGCTTGTTCTACCATTTGAGAATTTGTATGAACGGTTGAGGCAAGTGTTGTATTATGCGCGTGGCTTTATATAACGGTAGGAGAAGCACACGCATTCTATTGTGGAACCATTATCACATCATGAACCATGACGATGATGACTCTTCCCAATTTGTACGTAGGAGAAAACTTGATCCACAGACGTGTGTGAGTGTGTCTTTGTTTTCTACTTTACCATGGTCCCTCCTCTGTACCAGAAAATTAAATAATAAATAAATAAAATTTGAAAAAGAGAAAGACAATCCGTGGTCCTATGTCGATATCATTGTGCGTTTTTGTTTCACCAAATTGAGTATTGGAATCGGAACACAAAACTAGAAGGTGACCCTCAACTCTCTGTTCTCATGTTCTATAATACAGTTTCAAAGACTAGGTTTGCACAGTGTTGATGCCTGTACAATTTTCTATGACACCTTTTAAGAGTTATTAACATTTTTAAAATATTATAGCAAAGTATAATAAGTGTCAAAATAATCTTAGTTTTTTTTATTCTTAATATCCACGTGGCAACTCTGAGCTAATAGCAAAGTATAATTCAATGGTAGAGCTGGGAATTGCCTTGTTCTCGTATTTATTTTTAGTTTATACAGTTTAAGAACATTATTATTCTTTAAATATCTCTCATTTTTTTAATCATATCACATCTATTAGTTATCTTTTTTATTCTTTTTATTTTAAAGAGTGCCTATTAAAATTATAAAAATTCTATTTTTAGGGCAAACAGTTTTTTTATAGACACTCACGTTCTTTAAAATACTTTTTAAAGACAAAATCATGGAATCCACAAACATTAAAGTGAATAATACTTTAAATACCAGAAGTCTAACGATACTGTACACTTATAAAAAAAATATGGAAGAAACATGTTACCCCAGTCAATGAATATTAATGGGTGTTTCTTTACATAAAATTAAGTTTTGAATATTTTTATATATTTCTAATATTCATAAATATAACTATATGCTAATTGAGCTTTAGTGTTTTAAAAGATATTATATTGGAGGTAGTACAGATTTTATTTTATTTTATTTTTTCATATCAATTTCAAGGTAACCTACAAAATGGCTTCTATTTGGTTTGTATCCAGGATAGTGGCTAGATATTTGTTAAGACAGAGGGTGTTGACCATTACTCAATTTTTGTTGATTAATGCCATAAATGTTTTCAATTCTTAAAGAACAGTAAGAGTGTGGCACACACTGTTTATGAATGGCTCGTGAAACCCTTTCCCCTCCACAGTTCATGCTTTGAAACCTTGAATTCTAGTGTTGTAGCTAAACCATAGGTATCTTCATCATGTGTTGACTTTTAATCAACTACTTTTATCACATTCTCTTCATTTTGGTATCCAACTAAACATGTCCACTCACCAACTCCCATTGTCTATCTTCTGGACTCAATGTAAAAGCCCTGAAGATTAGACATCTAACTCTTAAGGCACACAAATATGGGTGTGGTGCCATATGCCACAATACGTGTGTACATCACGTGATGCCGTAGATTATAATGTGTAACATATAAAATAAATGTACTCTTATACCGTTACACAGAGACAAGATTTACATTTAAGCTCCCAATCACATGGTAGCCATCATCCACTTTGTGGTGTATGCTCCCTCAACCACTACCTCTGACTAGACAAACTTGATGCGTGCCTAGGAAACATTGATTCCTTTTATCACTCAGGTTTAGATTCGACATCAAATAAGTTACTCCCATTCTTATTGAACGTAGACAAAACCTTGCTGTCCCTATTCTTTTAGTCTTGATGTTGTCTTTTTTATGCTTCCCTGCCTCCAATTAATTGTTAATATGCACGAATGCTGGGTATGTGTGTGTGGTATTCATATTGTTATGTGAATTAATTCCAAAGTAATCAGTAATAATATAACATCAATTTTGTGTTGTTTGTTACTATGAATTGTAGACCCGTTTGGTAAGGATAATAATAATGCTTTCCAAAAGGAAACTTCACATCAAACAGGGTTTAGAAAATTACAGTGGCGGAACATAAATATTTCTTCCAAGCCTCTTATTTTATTTACCTACGAAATCAAAGTTTCAAATATTGTTTTGGTCAATCCACTAGCTTTTAGAAGTGGATTAATCGTGCTGTTTTATTAAGAGAAAGGTTATCGATACATTTTTTTTTAAAATATATTCTTTTATTACATTTTTTATGATTAGTTAAGTTTTAAAAAAAATTAAAGTATTTATCTCATAAATTAATCATATTTTAAAAATAATTTAAATTTTTAAAAAACAAATAAATTACATGAAATGTATTTAAAAGAATGATTTTTTATTGTTCTCATATTGATATCAATTTAATCATAAATTAATTGGCTAAAGATAATTTTATCTTAATTTATCATTTCAAGTTTGAATTAGTAAGTTTTATTAATGAATGTAATTAGGTTTGAAAGAAATATTTTATCACTTATAATAATCCTACAAGTGAATTCAGCTGTATTAAATACTTAAAATAAAAATTTTATTATCCTACAATAGTTTTACCTGACTCAAACATAATTATCTTTAAAAAAAGAGAATACATGTGGTTTAAAATGTTTTTTAAAAAATATTAGTCTTTTTGTTTAATTTTAAGTATATAAAAAATTAAAATTATTATTCTTAATTACTTTAAATAAATTGTAAAGAAATATATTAACAAAATTATTAATGAAAAAAATGAAGTTTGTTTGGTTTGAATTTCGTCAATTCATCCGTGCAATAATAGATGTTGATTAATTGAGAGGGTGATGAATGGAGAGAACAAATAATAGTGAATGTGTACTTCACTGACACCAATGTTGTTTTGATCTAGTAAGAGGATATAGATAGGAACAAGCATGTGCTATCTGCTATGAGCCATCCTTTGTGGAGAAAATTATGGGTTGTGGTCACCTAGGGCTATTGGGCAGGACCATCTCATTCTCAAGAGCCAATGAAAACTTGACGCCTATGTATAACCCCATGCCCAAATTTGCATGTTGGTTTCGCAAAATTTAGTAACATTTGATTTGTCATACGAAATTACCCCTTCTGCCACTTTCATTCTATGCAAACAGTCAAATCTTTTGACTATGTTAATCAATTAGCAACGAGCTATGAGGATTGTGCTTATTCCCATAACTCATCAGATAAGATGTTTGGCATTATGTTGGGTAAACAATTGCTATCAATCCATATCTTTATCCTTTGTTGGGGGAAAGCATTACAACCAGTTGTTTATTAGATAAATATGTTAGATATATCTTTCGTCAAATTAAAATAATGAATAAAGTTAGAACTAGTCAAGATTGTGGGTGAAGAAATCATTGGTCAAATCTTGATTGAATAAATATATTATATTACCTAAGTTTTCTTTGGTGGAGGGAAGTAGTGTTAACACCTTGCCATGTTTGCTTAAGTTGCATCGACGTATTTGCAATTATAAATGAATAATTGAGTTGCACAATTCATGGTGGGAATCCTACTCAGATGATAATCCACTCATAGGTTCAGAACCTATGTATGCCCTTTTCATTTTTTTGATTTATGTTTTGTAATTTTCTTCGTGTCTTTTAAAAAAGAAAATTAGTTTTCCAATTTCCTATCAACTCTCTACCCTACTTTCTTCCTTTGTGGGCTTGTGCCACAAAATAAGAAGAAAAATTCTTCTTCATTTTTTGGGCATCCACAAGAGCGATTAAAATATGTATACACTAAAAGCTGGTAAATATGTTTTCTAGGAACTAATAAAGTCAAGTTATTTTATTGTCTTTATTCATAAAAAAATAAAATGCTCGTCCAAAGGTTGCCTTTTCGGATAAGGCACACATCTCTTTCATCAAATTGAGAACTTACAAGCATTAGACCAATCCATGCACAATGGTATCCTGTCCAGAGCACGTTGTAGAAAATGGGGTCACTTTTGTTGTTAATCAAAAGACTAGTCAATTTTTAAGAAAGCATTTGATGCAAAATTATGTGGGGAGATTTTTTTATGAATGATAGAATTGGTTAATGGGCAAAGAATTAACAACATTGTGTGAAACTTAGGAATGGGTTGAATTTGGTGATACTCTTACCTACCTTCCATATTGATTGGTACGAGTCAGTTTTGGTCCCTGCTTTCATTATTTTTATCGTAGAAAAGCTTCCCCTTTTCTTTTCCACTCTCATCAGAAAAAAGTGTATTGGAATTTCAGGGCTTTCTTTAATTCGCCTAGCATCCAATAAATTTTCAGATATCCTTTTGAGAGGGTTCTTGTGTGGTCACTTATCATTCCCATTCATCTATTAAAGTCTCCACCTTTTCATTTTAAAATCTCATTCCTCCACGTTACCCATAACACTCATAAATAGAGGTTTAGATGAATTCAATTGAATATTTAAAGTTTTTTTTAAAAAAAGTAAAAGTGACTCATCTATTTAAATGGGTTAGATTTAAATTTTAAATTTGACTTAATTTGACCAAGTATAAAAACCTTATTTGATCATAATATATGACCTCATTTGCTCTTTTTTACTTGGATCTTCTCTGTATTATCATGATGTGTGGGTTTGCTTTCTCGACTCTTTTGAATATTTAAAATCAAATGTGATTCAATAATAATAATAATAATAATAATAATAATAAACTAGTTTTCTATACAATCAAAACTGTTTCACACCTTTATTGATTGTTGTATAACAACCTTTAAAACCATATTTTAAAAAATTAGCTAGTAATTAGTTCATCAAACTATGATAATGTATGCACCACAGCAAATTATTTAGTTAATCAATAACCTCATCACTTGGAGTATGCCCTGCCATTAACAATCAATTATTTTCTTGGCGTAAATTAAGTTACGAAGAAATAAAGTTGTCTCATCTTTTGTCTACTTTCTTATTCTGAAAGATAATTTGCTTCCTAATTAGTAATCAGATCACAGTTACGTGAGTTATTTTAGATTTGCAAAAAGAATAAAGTTATTCAATTTTCTTTTTATATTCATACAATGCTTGAACTTAATAACTTAACTAGCTCATAACTTATTTCTGAGTTTGAGTTTGTTTGACTAAAATAAAAGTGCTTGACAGATAAAATTAGGTTTAAATATATTTTTACTCTTTATAATTTTATGAGATTATAATTTAATTTTTTTCTTTTTGTTTCTAAATTTTTGTAACATTTTTTTGTCATGATGTAACCTAATAAAAAATTAAACATGCAACACTAAGAAACAAAACACAAATATAGAAAGACCAAAAAGAAAAGAGGATAACATTTTATTTTTAAACTAAGAAAAACATAATATTTACAAAATAAATAAAATATTAGGTCATTAAATTTATGTTTATTTATCATAATTTTTTATTTTAAATTTATGAAATTATATTTTTTAAAAGATAAATATATTTTATT